TTTATCAAATAAAAGCCATCATTTTATCTACTAACAGGAATTTGTTTTCTGTTTATTGATTTTTCTCATAGTTTTTTTTTTGTATTCAGTCTGTAGTTCTACTATTCTGGTTCTAATAAATGTCTCCTTTTTAATGTTCTCTTTTCCTAATTAACCAAGTGTCAAGTAGAAAGAGATAAGTTATGCACTTTAATTACAGTGACCTCAGGCTACTTGGAGAATTCTTATCACTGGCTTGGACTATACATTCAGTGCTCACCCAAAACAAACTATGTTGACAAAACCTTTGCATAAACCATGAACGTGAGACCCAAGGTGATAGGGCCATCACTTCTGCCATCAGCAAACAAGAACACTGAGATTTAGTTCTCTGCTACTTCAAATCATACTGTATCTGGTCCTCTTGCTGCTTGTTTCATTCTTATTAAAAATGGAACGTGACTGTTAACCTGGATTATGAGAGACAGGAAGTTTGCATACTGCAGAGGGCCTGGAGCAGAGCTTTAAGAATCCAGTATTCCTGATCAGCTCTTCCACTAGTGAGTTGACTCTGTAGGCCAATCATGTGGGCTCTGAACCTCATTTCACACCTCTGTAAAATGGACTGATCATACACTGATTGCTAAGGTTTTTCTAAGAAGTTGCAATTTTTTTGCTATAAGCCCATATAGTTTCACGTTCCTCTTCTCATTCTTATTTTATCTGCTTGTTTCCCCAAATGGAGTAACATCTGGTTTCAAAGAAATATACTAAATAAAATGTCAAAATAGAAAATTTTTTTAAAAGACCAGAGGACTTTATCCATTAGATAATATATGCCTTGTTTTATTTATGAAAATGTACAAAGAATCTGGAATCCTTTCCATCCTCATCATGGTATCATTTCCTGGTTATAGAAATGGGCTCATGGTCTTTACTTTGAAGAATTTCCTTCAGGATGGGGCAGGTGAGGGGCAGTAAAGGACCTTGGTTATCTAGATTCCAACCCTCCCTTCTCCATTGTCTAAATTTTTCTGAACATAACTTTGAGGTTACTCAAAGTGCTTAACTTAGTAAAATATGTATGATGGAGTATTATAGGTATTGAGGTATGGGTCTCTCCTCTAGTTCAAAATTTTCCTTTAATGAAGTGTATGACCTTGGTTTTAAGTCACTTCTCTTCTGTACCCTCAGTTTCCACGTTTGTAAAATGAGCCACTTGAGCTGAATGCTGTGTAAGACCTTTCAGCACCGAATTTCTAGTCTGAAATCAGGAAATGCACAGCACTCGTGGTCGTTTTGGGAAAATGTCACTGGTTTTGGGGACAGAGTCTCACTATGTAAGGATTTCTCTCCAGACACTCCCTCACTTAAGTAGACATGGCCAGCTGGGCCAAGCCAGGACAGACAGTTTCACCATAATGCAGCACTGTTGGTAGTGTCTGCTCTGCCTGGGGAAGTCTGGCTTTGGTAAGCGCTCCAAGGTGTTGGCTACCTGGAGGAAGGTGAAGGGATCTCAAGAAGTCCTAAAATATGGTTCTTGCCCTCACTCAGGTCACAACTGTCTTGGTAAACACATGGGCAGCATCTAAACTAGGGAATCCAGGTGGTATAAGTACCATCCTAAACACCTGTCAGTTTTATCGAGCTATGGAAATTTATTCTGAGTTCAAGATAATGAACATATCTCCATGGGCAGATAGCTCTATCCTGGAGAAGATGGGAGAATGGCCTACAGGTCTTGGTGGTTCCATATTTAGTGGAGTTATCTTTATTTTCAAAGAAGAGTCTGATGTTCTCTTTCTAAAATACCATTCTACTTAGGTCTCATAATGATGCAGATGGAATATATGTCAACTGGAAGGACGGGCAGGCTGGGTGGAAGAGATAGGAGTGGGACACAGTAACAAAGTAGAGAAGATCACTAACAAAATACGAGGTATGGGTGGGAGCATAGGTTAATGGTAGAGCACTTGGCTAGCATGCAGGCTCCTTGGCGTCAATCCCCAGAACACACCCACCCTCCGCCCCAACAAAGTGGAGAAGAAGGAAAGAAATACAAAATTACAAGATGTATTCAGGAGACAGTTGGCAGACCAGTTTGTCCATAATGTGGCTTTTGAAAAGAGGAAGAAAGAAGCTGAAAGATTTTGGAGTTAAAGGATAAGACCTTTAAGAGAGACCAAGGGTAGATTCTAATGTTGCCACTTACTACTGCATGCCTTTGAGCAAGTTATTTAATCCCTCTGAGTTATTATTTCCACCTGGTAAAACGGGAGTAACGATACCAATTTCATAGGATTTTTGTGAGGATTAATAGAAATAATGTATGAAAGCTCCTGGCACACTGAAAGCAATCAATTTAAATTAATTTTTCAAATACCAGACCCTTTCTACTTCCACAGTGGATTCTTGTACTACAGACAGGTGGGAGTTAAGCAGTCAGACCTTGGATCTGAGTTATATTGGGCCAGTTACAAAGTCTTCAATTTCAGGTAACTTGCTTAGCCTCCCTTACCTCCAGTTTACTACTCTACAGAATGGGATTAACCATACTTATCAAAAAGGTTCGAAATGTATTATGTTAAGTACCCAGTAAGTAGTACCTGATAAGTAGGGGACAGGCAGTAGATTTCAATTTTTAAAAAATGACAATGGGGAATTATTATAATTAACATCATTGAACCCTTGACCAAGGAGCCTAGAATTTCTTTTGTAGGGAGTAGGGAGACATTGGAGGTGCTTCTTTCCTGATCATGTTCCTTTAAATGAAGAATAAAAGAATCTTGACATTGATGAGAATATGTACAGGAATATCAAGACTGTGCCCAGAACAGCACCCTGGAGGTAGAGACCCATCTACTAAAGATAAAGACCAGTTTTATTTATGTACATACCATGTGATTCTTTTACTACCAAATGTATTTTTTTCCTCTGAAATACAATTCTGAAAATGAGAGAGACAGACATGGAGAATGAGGAAGCAACAGAGGGAAAAAAGAGAGTCAGAAAAAAGGAGAGGTAAGGAGGACAATGAAGAGATGAGGAGAGAGGAGAGGAGGGCGCTGTCCGCACGCGCTCTCTGGCTTTTTGTGTGATGACACCTGGCTCCCAGCTGTGCTGTCTGCAGATGGTGTGAGAGAACGTGCATCCGGGTATGGATCTGGCATCACAAGGCTTGAATTTGCAGCTGACAGGTGGCCTATTTTAAATAGAACTGTGGGGAATTACTGAAGAAGGGTGAGAATCTCACCTCCTTGTGTTTTCTCACCTCCACCAACATGTGCCCAAACACCTGGGAACAGCTCATTCCACCTGTCTCCATGGTATCTGCTGACATGTTTCTGGGTCTGACCCAGGAGAGATGTCTGGTCAAAGAATTTCTGTTATCTCCTTCAGCTCCATTTTCAGTCTGCTAGCCATTTTGCTGAAAGGAGTGCTGTAGTCTGGCCATGCTCCCAATGTGTATCCCTCAGTGTGAGAGGTGCAGCCTCTCGGAAGTGGTCAGGACAGGAGGGTGAGGCCCTCATGAGTGGAACTGGTGCCCTCAGACACCAGGGCTGAGGAAGCTTGTTTGCTTCTTCTACCATGTGAGGACTTACACAAGGCGCTGCATGGGAGAAGCGAACGCTCATTGGACGCTGACCTGACAGCCTCCTGGTCTTGGACTTTCCAGCCTCCACAATTGTGGGAGAGAACTGTTCGTTGTTTCTAAGCCACTCAATATGTGGCTTTTTTTTTTCTTTTAGCATTCTTAACAGATTACGACAAGGAGGGAAGTATTGTTTTTTTGAGAACAGTGTTTGTATTAGCTTGTCCTGGGATATCTTTACAAGGTTTAATTATGTTTTTAATATCATCTTTCCGTTTCTGTTTCACTAGTCACCCAAATGCTGAATGTCTAATAACTGATAGGCATCAACAACTTGCCAAAGTCAGTCTCTTTTGCCACAGCTATTAGTGCCCCAGCAGCAGTCATGGCATGTCCCAGGCACAGCTAGTCTGTGCCTGCCCAACCCCAAGCCCACCTTGAGGCAGTAGGGGTGCTATGGGGTGGAGCCACAGGAGGCTGCCACGCCTCGTGGGGTGTCACCCATTGCAGCCTCAGTAGAGCCTCTGTGCACCGGTGAAGTTCATGCGTGATAACAGAATAAAAATGCTAATTGCTCATCCTCCAAGGGACCGTGGCTCATACTGTCCCCTTAGACTTTTTCTCAGCCCACCTTCCAGTTTAAAAAGATCACATGGAAATTGTTGGCCCCGAGACGATACACAGGACCTTTTTTTCTTCTGAATGTAGGAATGTTTATTATACTTGCTTTCCACTGTTTTAGAGAAGTTTTAATTAAATAATTTATACATCAAAAGTATCTATCTGTCCATCTATCTGTCTATCTACATCATCCAGCACCTATCTTAAGAAACAGAACATTATAGAGAGCTCTCTGAGGCTCCGACCTATTACCTCTCACTCACGTTCCTCTTCTGACCACCTCTTGGTATTTTTGTAATTGTCTTACTTTCATATATATTTGAAAATTTAAATGCTATTTACTTTTAAATAGCACCAAGCTAGATATGATCCTTTATGATTTGCAGTTTTTGCATGAAATCATGCAAGAATGAGCCATGCTGATGCAGTAAATGCTTGTGATTCACTTCCTCTCCTATATGGTACTTTATTCCAAAGATGTAGTAAATATATTTGTCTGTTCTCTGTTGATAGACATTTGGGGTATGATTTGTTCTTATAAGCCACAAATCTGGACTATATTTTACTATTCTAAATTCTTATACAATGCACTTTTCCTGCATATTCATATAGTTACACATGTTCAAGAGTTCTGTAGTGTCAGGAGTGGTGGTGCGTGCCGGTAATCCCAGCACTCGGCAGGCTGAGGCAGGAGGATCACACATTTGAGCCCAGCCTTGTTTCAACCCCTTAGCCCAGCCAAGTACCAGTTTAAAAGAAAGTGGAGGGAAGACATAAAGTGATAGGTGTGCATGTTTTCTTTGTAAAGGGCCCAGGGAAGCAGAAGGTGACCAATATGGACACCATGCCACCAACATGGGAATCATTGTGGACGATGATGGATTTGAACACAATCTCAACATGAACATTTCCTTTGAGGAGGTAACAATAATCTGCTCTTGAAACCCAGAGACTTTTGTGTTTGTGATGAATGAAGCAATTTAGCCAGTAGACCATGAACATTTTACTTAAAACTTAAATTGCCCCATTTGTTTTTATCTCCAGTTTTTATCTTTTTATTAGTATATGTTTCTGATGCATGAAGATTTTTTTCCTTTGACATGAGGCTCGAGGGGATCATAAATGAGCAGATGCAAAGTCCCAACCATGCTGATGTTTTATAGCAGCCACTGCCTGCTGACTTCACAGCAGCAAAAAGTTGGCAGAGACATAGTTAGTTTTCCTACATGATGAAATTTTTAAAAATGAGATATTTTAAGGAAATGAATGATTCCTTGATAAAGTATGCCTCTTTGTAAGAATGTAGTAAGAATAAACCATGTAATGCCAGCATTTACCAATGATTTTGAGTAATTCAGGGGAAGTACTAAAAATCCCTGAGTTTCAAGATCTTTATTCCTAAATTAGGATCAGTGCTTCTGCCCCTTCTACATCCCAGGTTTTTGAAAGTATTAACAGTAACCACATTTTCAAGTAATAGGCAACAACCTCAAATATGATGGTCTCGTTACCATGCTCTGTTTTTATGTTGAATCCTTTTTCTTCTCTGACTTCAGGTTAAACCCCTTACTGCTGCCAAAGAAGGGCACAAAAAATTCTTAGTGGGAAGCAAGATGACATCTCTGTCTAACCCCAAGACTGTTTCCAGGCCTGCCCCCACTACCTCGCCACCTCTGTCGAGGACCACAGCGGCTCTCCAGCCCACTCCAGCACAGCAGAAGGGGACGAGTAGCATGGCCATCATGTCTAGGCTCTTTGCCATGTCTTGTAATGAGACCCTGTGCTCTGCTGACAGCTTCTGTGTCAATGACTACACCTTGGGGGGCTCAAGATGCCATTGCAACCTGGGCAAAGGTGGTGCGAGCTGCTCAGAAGGTAGGTCCTTTGGAGAGGGAAAAGTGGGGCAGTCGGTGAGCCCTGGGAGAGTCAGAGCGCAGTTCTGTGCTCCAAAGGTAGTTCCTTCTCATCCCTTTTGTCAGACAAGCTCTTTCTTCCATTTATTGCTCACCACAGCAGCTATATGAGGCCAACTGTGAAGCAACTTCCATTCCTTCTAATTAGGTAGCAGCCTTATTTCTATGTGTGTCCAATGTCAAATGTCCTTTTGGAGCAACAGTCATTGAATCATCTTGACCCCTTAGAAATGTAGGTGCCACTACTGTCACATTACTATGAAAAGGTATATCCAGAACACTTGCAGAATAATTTTGCCAAAGTATAATCCACAAATGTATAACTAAAAAATGAATGGCAATGCTCTTAAAGTCATTGATCTCTTTTTTGGGAAGCACATAGTAACCTCCAAAAATCTGGTTTCTTTCTAAGAATTTCAGAAGCTCAAAGTCCCCCAAAGTGAGAATAGTAGGTATAAAAAGTAGAGATAGGAAGCTGTGCATGGTGCCACATGCCTGTAATCCCAGCACTCGGGAGGCTGGGACAGGAGGATCGTTGTGACTTCGAGACAAGCCTGGGCTACAAAGTGAGCTCAAGGCCAGCTTGAACTACAGAACAAGAGCCTGTCTCAAAAAGACAAAAAAAAAAAAAAAAAAGTAGAGCTAGGAGCCCGGTGTGTTAGTGCACACCTGTAATCCAAGCACTCTAGAAAGCTGAGCCAGGAGGGCTGTAAGAGCAAGTGCAGTCGGGGCAACCTAGTGAGACTTGCCTCCAAATAAACATGTCCATAAAGAGCTGCGGATGTAGCTCAGTGAGAAGGCCCTGGTTTCAGTACTTGGTGCTGCTACAGAGAAAGAGCAGAGAAAAGAAGATGGCAAACTTTGACAGATTAGCAAAGGTTTTCACTTGACAATATCCATGCAAGGTATGTGTTGAAGTTTTGCTTTTGCAGAAATGAAGAAATAACCTTCATGTTGTCTTTTTTTTTTTTTCTCCCCAGATATTATTATACAGTATCCCCAGTTCTTTGGCCACTCCTATGTCACTTTCGAGCCTCTGAAGAACTCCTATCAGTCATTTCAAATTACTCTGGAATTTAGGGTAAGAGGGATTGGCCATTTGTTGAGCACTTGTTGGAACTTTAACACTTTTAAAAGGAAGGGGCAGAAAGAGACAAAGCAGAGGAGAGTGATCAGAGATTAATGTGGCGTGAGTCCACCCTATAACCAGTTCACGGGATTGCAAAGCATTGGGTTTGTTCATCACATCCAAGTTGTCCAGCAAAGGAAGGGTGGGTTTTGTATGTTACTAAATGGTAGAAGTGACTGGGCCAAAGCTTCTCAGGGAAAATGTCGGAGTCTCAGCAGTGCTGTCCATAATAAGGCTCCTCCCAGACCAGGACTTCAGAAGTAATAATGCATTCTCCATTCCAAGATGCCTTTCAAAGGGAGCCCCAGTGTCCATCTTCATTGCAACAGCCGTAACTGGACAAATGGAAACTACTTCCCACGCCCCCAGCTTGTCGTGAGAGCCCCATAAAGGTGCTGTGGTCTGAATCAATGGCAGATCAGAATTCAGCCAGTGACTTCAGTGTGATTCTTTTTAGTTTCTTCAAAGCAGCAAAAAGCTTTGGAGGTCTGGAAACAAGGCTCCCTTGAGGGCACGGCCACAGTGCTGAGTGTCCAAGAGGTGAGCTGTCCTCTTCTGAGACAGCCGCATCCATCAGCTAAGTTGCTTTTATCACCTTGTTCTGCTGATGGAAGGAAAGACACAGATTTGCTTCCTCCCCAGAGAGAAGGAAGAATAGTCAAAAGAATAAAGGAAAAGGTAGAATGCTCTTTGGTGAGAACAGAGGTTGATGAACACTGCAATGCTCTCTGTGACCGAGGCTCTGCACATATGGCTTCCTGGAAGCCTGCAGGCGGAGCCACAAAGCCAGCAAAGAGCAGGTCAGGGGGTTCTCCCCTTCTTCTCCCCTTCCTCTCCCCTCTCTGCCATTCCTCACACACCGATTGTCTCGCTGCCATTTGCCTAATGGAAATGAATGGTACCTGCGAATTCATTAGTCTGTGTGCTTGCTGCATTGTAAATAGGGCCGCAGGGGAGAACGCTCACGTTGCGTATTCATGAGTGTTTCCAGATGGTGCTTCGTGGAAGAGGAGGTGGTCATTGTTCATGTGGCTTTTGTCTGTGTGACAACAGGCAGAGGCAGAGGATGGCTTGCTGCTCTACTGTGGGGAGAACGAGCACGGCAGGGGCGATTTCATGTCCTTGGCTGTCATACGGCGCTCGCTTCAGTTCAGGTAACGCCTGCCCAAAGCCCCCAGACTTTTAAAATTCTGCTGTGCATTGTGTTTACATTTCCATAGTGTGGGTGCCATCCATGCAGGATGGATCCCAGTAGGTAAAGGAATGGTGCAGAGAAGATGAGCAAAAAAGGAACAGTTTCTTAAGTACTGGAGTGTCAGGACGGCAGGGTAAACTTTGAGGCTTGAGCTGTGGATCCTTGTCACCCATCTCCTTGTGTCGCATACGGCTGAAAGTCATGGAGGGCAGTGAGGAGCCTGTGGTGAGGTCCAAGCTGTGTGCCTACCTTCCCTGAGCACTGTGCTGAACCCTCCGGCTTGCCTCTTCCGCCCTGAACCTTTCCTTCCCAGCACACTTTGGAAGCCACTGTGAACTTCTGTGTGGTTTGGGGGGGGCGGCGGGCAGAGCTCTGTGACTCAGTGAGAGGTGCTGCGGCACCTGCCTGTAACGGACCAGTGGGTACACAGTGCTTATCTATTCATGCGCAGTAGGTGCAAGGTACACAGCACCTCGTGAATGACCAACGGGCAGCAGCTCTGTCCATCTCAGTGGTACAACTGTAAGACCCTCAAGGCACCACTCCCAGCTGCCTCATCTTATCCAGGCCTGGGTTTCCTCTCAGGGCCCTAAAGAGTTCAGCTCTACCAGTGCTTAGAGCAGTACCCGCCCCAGGGCAAACACTCTATAAGCACCAACTTTTACATCTTTTTAAATTATTTCAGCATAAAAACACTTCAAGTTGAATTAGAGAAGCCATTGAGCAACCCAAATAGGCTAAAGAATCAGACCCCCCCCCTTTGCTGAGGATTTGACTCCTGGAAATTTGATGGTGGCCGCCAGGACGGGGATAGTCATAACCTTGTGGGGCCCTGGCACTTGGAGGATAGGGTAGACTCTCTCAGTAGCACTGGCACTGACAGGCTGGTAGCAGCTCCTTGGCTCCACAGCGCATTCGGAGGGATTCTGACATCCCTCTCTGCGAAGCCTCCAGTCTTGTCCCACTCTCCTGAGAGTCCGGAGACAAAGGAGCTCACGAGGAGTGGACTGCAGGTGATGCCGCCCCAATAAAGCCAGCGCCCATCGTACCACATTGCTAGGGAGTGACTTCAGGATGCTTGTGCAAGTGTAACTATTTAGAAGTTGACCAGAAATAACCAAACTCCTGTCTGTCACGCCTAGTGACCCTTGGGCACCCCTGGATCATGGGTAGGTTTGGAAAAATAAAAATAATGCTTTTCCTCCATCCCACACTGGCCCTAAGCTGGGCCCTCTAAGGAAACCTCTCCCATATACGGGCACAGCTGACCACAGATGGCAGGGCTGGCTGCTTGGCAACATGAGTGGGAAGACTTGGACTGTTACATTTTATTAATATCACAGATCCTGTCACTTGAGAGAAGTCCCCAGACAGATCCTCGGAAGTAGAGGGCCTCAGGTTCTAATGGCTGTGCCTCAAATCTGCTTTAAGTATTTGTTGATCTCTGGAAAAGAGAGTGAGAGTCTTATGTGCTCATGGTCATCTGAGCTGCAGAGCCAGTAGGGCTAAGAAGGCGTCTCTGACAAGTTCCATGGGCAGAGTGAACAGAAGGAAAACATCCCAGGGAAGAAGCATCTGGCGCTGTGAGTGCACATTTAAACAGCTGTTGATGCTCATAAATATAACCAAACAGATCGACTCAGAAAGGAGCCGCTATCCTAGAGGTGCTGTCCGTGGAGCCTGGAAACACAATAAGCTGGCTGACTCTAGAATCTCCTTTCCCTTTTCCCCCCGACAGGTTTAATTGTGGGACCGGGGTTGCCATCATCATCAGCGGGACGAAAATCAAACTTGGGGCGTGGCACACAGTCATGCTCTACAGAGACGGGGTGAGTGGGCTGCTGCAGCTGAACAACGACACCCCAGTGACGGGCCAGTCCCAGGTGAGTAAAAGCTGCAGCTCTGCTCACCTCCCTCACCACATTAGCATCCCATGAGGGGCTCACTGGAGAGAGAGCAGGGCTCGGTGAGGAAGGATTTGGACTCAGGATGGGCTTTGAGAGGCCCGGCTTCACAGTGAGTGCACACAGCTGAGCTCTGCTGGGGTCCTGCCCCGTCTTGCCCGTCCAGGTGGACATTCAGGCTGGGGAGGGACTTGAATTCATGAGCGTCATTGCTGTTGGGTGCGCAGGTACCGGTTTGAGCCCATGGACATGCTCTCTTTCCACAAGGACATCAAAGCCAAGGGTTGAGGAAGACCATACTGGAAGGACAGAACCCACCATTTGTGTCAAACACAAAATTTGGCTTCAGGCAGGAGTGTCGTAATCCTGTGGCTTCAGAAAACATTCCTGAAAGACTCGTTTGGTTCAATATGCAGGAATAATCTGCTCATCTACATTTGTAGGGGCTTGGGGAGGGTCACTGTAGGAATTGTTTAACTGTTTAAAAAAGAGTTTAACTCTGGTTACTCAGCAAGTTACCTGGCTATTCCCATATTTGTTATGCTCCGAGTAATTTTAGAACTGTGTTTAGAGTAAGCAGTTTGGATTAGCAGCCTGCTGAGGAACTGAGCCTGTAATTATAGTCAGGCAGGTATCTATTCTCCAAGGGAAAGTGGGGCAGGAAAGCCTCTGTGGGTATATATCTAAGCTTCCTCTCTGCTCCAGCTCTCCACTACTCTTCGCTGGCCAGATATGGTATACAGAGGGTCATGCCTTGATGATCAAAAAAAAAAAAAAACAGGAAAGAAGTCTCATTAGTGTGGACCCCAGTGTTTCCAAAGGAACAAGAGTCCAAATCCTGTGAATGTGAATCTGAGGAGCTTACTTATGCCTATATCGCTAAGAAAGGAGAGTCACAGTGTGTGAAGGACAGAGTTACCTAAATGACAGAAGAATAAGTCTAACATAACAAGATGAAATTTGGTAGAAATAAAGAAGCTTCAAACTTGGGTTCAAAATACTAACGTGAAGACAGGACCGAGAAGCTATAATGAAAGCAGCACATGTGAAAAGGTCATAGGGTTTAAAGCAAGGAAGTTATAAAAAAGTTGAACAAACAAGGACATGTGCTAATAAAAATAAGTTAAAGAAAATATAGGCTGCTTTAGTAGAGGCATAACATTTAGAAAAGGGGAGGTTACAGTCTCTTTCTATTCTGGTGACTACATGAGAGCTTTCAGGGGCTCTAATTGTGACTCTGAACTCAGAAGAGGATTAAATTCATCTCTGTGATGACCTTGTAAGAAGGCCATAGATAAAGTGAAGCAAGTTCAAGGAGTAGTCACCCAGACAGGAAGATGACTTGAAATCTCTTCAATAATTGATGAAGAGAGCATTGTTCCATTGGGAGAAGGGAAAAGGGCAGCCTGTAAGTTGGCTTTTCATTGTAGAATCAAAAGAAAAGTCCTGAGGAAGAAGGGTTTACTCACTAGATCCCAAGCATAAAGGCAAATGGGAAGCGCTTTGGGGCACCATTGTTAGCTTTACTACTGATACGATATGCATGGAGATATGACAGACTCTATCAGGAAATGATTTCCTTTCCTTGGGGGTGTTCAAAAGGTAACTTATCTATACCTTGGGCAGAGATGTATAAGGACTCCAATAGCCAATGAAAGTTTGGCTTATGTGAGTTTTCATGTTATTTCCAATCCCAAGATTCTATGACTTTAATAAATATAAGAATTAATTGCAAATCATGTAATTTTATGGATGTTCAGGGGCAAGTTTGCCTTTGTACCACTGGGACTTGCTGAGCAAGTCACAGAAGCAGGACCACAGATGGGGAATGTTTAATAGATTGTCTTGGGAGACAGCAATTCTATTTTAAGGTTGGCTCCTCAGAAACAGACCTGAGATGAGGGCGTCCTGTGCAAGTAATGTATTGAGAAACTGCTCTCCAGGGAGCCTGTTAAAGGAGAGGAGAAACTGGACAGGGAGGAGGAGAAGCAAGGTTGGGATGAAGCAAGGGTGAGATCTCAGGTGCAGGTCTTCAGAGCATGGCTTTCACCTGGTCCCACAAGAGCGCTCCGGCTATAAATTAGACCTTAGAGCTATCCCAAACTGTTACAGGCTATCCCAGGGGAAGGCAGACCCCAGGGCATTTTCATTTCTCTGCATAGGCAGGCAAAGCAGGCACCAGGGATCTGAAGGTTAACCGCGTTCAGGGGAGGAAGAGGCCAGGCTTGAAGACTTGCCTGGGACGTTGTTGTGAAGGGCACCACCAAGAGCCACCTGCCCCTTCCACACCCTCCTACTCTGGGAAGCAGTTGAGCTGTCAGCCCTCCTGCTGTGGCCCTGGAACTGGAACGAGGCAAGAAGGGGAACGATGAGGTCTACAAGTGAATTCTGAGGATGTTGATGAAATAAGCCACGAGAGTTTTTAATTGATCTAATGAAAGCAGTAGGTTCGGTGGCCAAATAGCTTTAGTAAACCCTTCAAGCCCACAGCAGTTCTGCATGATTCAGTCTATCCTTACAAGTGATTCTTATCTGTTCATCAGAAAAGATAAAACAATGTTTAGATTTCTAATTGCAGGAAACAAGTGTTTATAGGGTACAGATCACAAGTCAGAGGCTTCCATCTTGGACATTTTTTGAGAACTGGCAATGTGCCTTTTCCCACCTGCTGTTTTTATCCTTTAATCCAAATAAATGACAAAAAACATGACCAAGCGTGGCTTAATTTTTTCCCTGACATTCAGCCTTGTGTTCCATAACCTCCAATCCAGACTGTGGTTTCATCTAAGATTAGAAATTTCCCTACCTTACTATAATAACACTTTTGAAAACAGTTGTAACCATAAATGATTGCAAAGAATTTGTAACACACCCTGTTTGGCAATTATCAGCTGTACTGTGTTTCCTGCAGTATATAACATAGAGGTGACTCAGAAAGAGAAAAGACAGAGGTCAGTGTACAAATACACAAAATTAATATTGCCACCTGTGGGGGACACAGCTTGGCTCTGTGACCTGTCCAGGGTACCTGGTAGATGTGTCAAGACTGGAAAGAGAATGGTTGATTTGGATGCCAGGCGTCCTGTCAGGTTGGTTGGGGCTCTGACCTCCTTCCCTCCCTTTCCAGGCCTTCCAGAATTGTCTCTACCAGAAGCACAGTCCTGGAGAGGCTCACTGAGTTTTCTGTGGTACCCAGGGGTTTCAATTTCCAGCAGGACTATGTCTTGATTAAAGACAAATAAGGACAAAGGAAAACTCTGCCCTGTAACCGACAGCTTAACCACCTTCTTTATCAAAATCTGCCATATTTTGGCTTTTTAGTTTGTGTAGTGAGATGAAGTTTTCTTCTTTCTTAAAGGGCCAGTACAGTAAAATCACCTTCCGGACTCCTCTCTATCTTGGTGGGGCTCCCAGCGCTTACTGGCTGGTCAGAGCCGCAGGAACAAACAGAAACTTTCACGGCTGTGTGCAGTCACTTACTGTTAATGGGAAGAGAATTGACATGAGGCCGTGGCCACTGGGCAAAGCTCTCAGTGGAGCTGATGTGGGTAAGTGACTATGTAGGACACTGAGAGAGCCATGTGGATCGCCTTGGCCAGCATGTGAGCAGATGCCTGCAATCCTGGGAAGATGGTGAATGTGGAACTCTAGGAGACGAGTGGTCCATGCTGTGCTATGCAGACGTGGATCCTGAGTCCAAACACCAAGATTTGATAGCAACATGGTGCACCAAGCCCTTGGTTGTATCCTGCCACCATCTTAACCTCTTCTTAAAATGTAGTCTGAGCTCACTGGACAGTGGCACACAATTTAGCCCTGTCACCCAACTTACCAGTGGAAGAGTCAAGACAATAATGTAAGAATAAAAATAATTTTTAAAAATGTAAGAACAGCATTCCTATGCCCTCTATTTGTGAAGAAAAGGTCAAATTCCAATTCTTGACTATGGCAAATACCTTGTCTGCCCTGGGTTTACTTTGAAAGCAATAAGAACATTTGTGCAGTTTCCTGAAGGCAGCAGGTAGACAGTGCCCAGGGTAGTTAATACAGAAACTCAGTTTACTAAAGATGCTGTAACAAAACACCCACCAACTGAATGACTTCAGCATCAAAAATTTAATTTATCGTGGTTCTGGAGGCTGAAGTTCAAGGTCAAGTGCAAGCAGAGCTAGGTTTTCCTGAGGACCCTTGCCTTGTCCTGCAGGTTGGTGGCTGCCTTCCCTTGCTGTCCTCCATGGTCCTCACATGGTCTTTCCTGTGTGTGTCTGTGAGTCCAAATTTCCTCTCCTTCTGAAGACATCAGTCAGACTGCATTACAGCCCCACTCTTATGCTCTCATGTAACATTAATTTCCTCCTTACAGACCCTGCTTCCAAACATGAATACGGGGGAGTGAGGCTTCAACCTGTGTGTTTGGGGGAATATGGTTCAATCATTAGCAATAGTGGCTACAGGTCTCACTATGGCTTATCAACTCTTTGAGACCTGCTTAAAGCTAGTCATAACGTGAGGAGCTGGAAATAAAGTGATGAACAAATCAGATGTTTGCCTCTGTGTATCTGCTGTGGGGAGAGACCAAGTTAATCAGATAATTAACCAAGTAAATTAAAATGACAAGTGGGGTTGAATGTTATACAGAAGAAGTGAAGGGGCAATAATAATGTCTAACAGTGAGCCGGCATGGTCTTGGGCTAGGGAAGACCCTTCTGAGGAAGCAGGAGTAGGAGCAGAAAAGAGGAGAGGCGAGGCAAAGACGCGTAGGCTGTGACTAAACAAAGACCACAGTTCCTTCAACATGCACTTCCGGGTAGCTGCCCGCTGACGTCACCAAGGCCAGCCCACTCCAGCCCAGGTGACACACTTTGTAGAAAAGTTTTCCTGGAATCTATTAGCAGCCCCGAAGCCAGGCTTCTGCGTGCACAGGGTGTGCAGGGTGCCCAGTCCCCACCGCCCCCACTGAGTATCTATGAGAGAGGGGTGGGGGAGTTAGACCAGTCCAGGTGACTGATTAACAAAAGAGCAAAAACTACCCCACAAAGGTGACACAACCAGACCAGGGTAGGCGAACGATACCCGCTCATGCAGGTACAGCCTTGGGGGCTGGGGGGGAGGTGGCACAGCTGGGCTTCTCCCTTCACAGCCCAATCAAAGACTCAGCCCTTTGCCCCCAACGCCATAAAGCCTGTTCTGTACTGGCTTAGGTTATTTCTGGGCCAAATTGTGATCCATCTGTTTAACTTATTTCTTACACATAAAGAGAAAAGGAAGATCAAGACCCATAAAAAAGTAGCTCATGAAAAGTCCATTTGTTCTGACTTCACCTGACGACCTTGAAAGTGACAAAGCTCATTTGCCCATGTGGAATTTTCTGATACACTTGGCAAAGGTCAGGGACCCATGCGATGTTAAACCTTTCAGAACTTTTTGCTATCGGCCTGTCCTTAGTAAGGCAGTCGCTTTGGAAGTAGAAATAGGGGCTGTAAAACCCATATGCTGAGGTATCATGGAATCACCTCTCTCCCCGGGACAGAAGACTCCACCACTAGGCTGAGATGGGCGTGGCTGCTTAACTTCTCTAGCGCTCCTCTTGCTTGTCTCAGCTCTGAACTAACATGGCAGCACTTCAGCTAATGGGGATCACAAAATTAGAAATCTTTTAACATAAACACTCTGTCGCCTTTAGAGCGATTGACGTCCAGTCTTGTGGGAAAAACACAGATGGATTCAAGCAGAGGCAATTCAGTCATCCCTCTCATGGTCATAAGCTTGTCCACAGTTTATTTTCTGGATTTATTGTGTCTGTGATGTTTGGGAAAGTCTCTATGGCTCTTCATAAAGGACAAGCGGAAATCGAATTAAGATGAAGGGCAGGCTGTACTTGCTGTGAACAGAGGTGCAGATCAGCAGCGGCGGGGACCAAACTGTGTTTGCTCAGAACTGTGAGCTGCTGGTGTGGTCGGATGGACTCACCGGAAGACTGGCTTTGTCATTCCTGTTCTGTGTCCAGGGGAATGCAGCAGTGGGATCTGTGATGAGGCCTCGTGTGTCAACGGAGGGACCTGTACCGCAATCAAAGCCGACTCCTACATCTGCCTCTGTCCTCTTGGGTTCAAAGGTCGACACTGCGAAGATGGTGAGGAATAAGCAAGTTGACTGTGTTTCTTACCTGCATGTTAATTCACATGGATACAACTTTTCACTTAATGCACTTTAGGCAAAGTCTCATAACTTTCTATGGGATCAAGGTTGCTTTGTTGACAAGGATAGAACTGTCTTATAGAGCCGAAGTTACAAACAAATGGAAACTATTTTCCTTTTAAGATGCTGAGCTGGGGTGGGCTCCTTTTGGGCCTCAAATAACTTCTAAAAAGCCTATATCTGTGTGGCTTGCACCTAGCTGAATTTAAAGCATTAAAAGCTTGTGATCTTTGTAGTATCTGGCAGTTTGAGAGAAAAGATTGAGAAAGTGCACACAGAAATTCACAATGTGATGTTTTCCTTCCTTGTAGTGTTCTGCTAAATTATTCCATCCCTCAGTACTGTATACATATTATATGCATGTGTATAAATGCATGTATACACATATATGTACCTATGCATGTAATGTACTTGCACACACATGTGTGCATGCTAATACATGCAAATAGTAACTGAAAATTTAAAAGATTTTGGAAAGTAATGCAAGCTTGAATATTCTTCAATTTTTTCAGAATTCCAAAATTTAAAACAAAACAAAATGGGCTAAGATCACAATGCTAATCACATTCCTCTACAAATGATACCATACTGGGAACATGTTTTAACATTATCATTTCAAATCTCATGTCAGGGTGAGCCATCTCGTGTTTCACTGGCCTTATAGTGTAAGAGAGGCTGATTCTTGTTCATGTCATAAATCACTGTGAGTCAGTGGGAGCATTGTTGAAAGGGGCTTCTGCTCCGTCCAGCCATCCAGGGACCCAGGACAGCCAAGAATAATCATCAGGGATACAGGCCTCCTGCCAACTCATGATTCCTCTAAGAACGTAGAGTCTTCCATTGAATCTGCAGCCAGCCTGCTTGTGAGAGGAGAGACTGGGAAAAGACGGAGGGAAGTTTTTGAGGCCAGTCCTCAGGTGCCACATGATCTTTCACCCCCATTTTGCTGGCCAGAATTCAGTCACACCACCCTCCTGGCTTCAGGGCAGATGGTTGGGGGTACAGCACACCTGGGGGCACAGCTTGCCAATCTCGGCACACAGAGACTTCTAATGCTTTGCGTGTTTTTTCAGCTTTCACCTTGATCATCCCTCAGTTCAGAGAGTCTCTGAGATCCTATGCTGCCATGCCCTGGCCCCTGGAGCCCCGGCATTACCTGTCCTTCACAGAGTTTGAGATCACATTTCGGCCTGACTCAGGGGATGGCGTCCTCCTGTACAGCTATGACACAGGCAGCAAGGACTTCCTGTCCATCAATATGGCAGGGGGCCACGTGGAGTTCCGCTTTGACTGTGGCTCTGGAACCGGTATCCTGAGGTGAGAGCTTGGACCTTCTGCAGTCTCTTCTCCCCTTAACCCAAATAACAGCCTCTGTGGAGAAAGAACAAATTGCCATCTACCATCTTACACTCTTCTTATCTTCCCCACACCAATGTCTTGTGGAGCTCTCCCCTGCTTCCTAAAGATGACGGGCTTCCCACAGGTGTCCTGTCTGAGAGATTCCCTTTTCCCACATAGCTACCCAGCAGGTAGAGCCCTCTGCTTCAAACTATGGAAAGTGAGCTTGCTTCCAATGGGAGGTGAACTCTCCATTTCCACCTTAGTTCATGCAGTGCCATCAGCAGGCAGACTTTTGATGAACTGTAATTAATCAGCGCCTTACACAGTGTGTCATATGGTTGGTGCCCAGCAAACATAAGTTCACAAGTAAAAGGTTTTAACAAATTTTTAATGAATAGAAATGTCCTTGATGACTTTGTTTTAAATTTTTACTTTCCTCTTAAACTGTTTCACAGATGGTAACTAGTGATTTCTCAAGTCCCTTACTGTTTTTCAGTACAGTGAGTCATCAACAAGCACAGACCCCTTTGTTAACCAGTGCGTTCAGGAAGGATGGGTGATGAGTAGTCCTAATAGCATGGCAGTGAATGGGTACTTCTAAAGGATTTGCTTATGTTTGCAAAATTGGTCGCAGTAGCTACACTTTGCTCCTGTTGTCTGGTCTGTACTATTAAACTACTTAGCAGATCAGTTGTTCCCATAGAGTAAGTCCGTATCTTTTTTAATCCCTTGGAGCCTTCGATTGGCAGGTGCAGATATTTTTCTTATTTGTTTATGTCTCCTTTTGATTGTGTTCCTTTCACCGCAGTTTTAACCTTCAAGCTCAAGGACTGCTTGTCTAATGCAGACATTCTTCTTATTCCGCCATTTGTCTAATTCTTCTCTTTTGAAACTCACTAAGGTATTTTGCTTAATGGTGCCCTGCCATAGACTATCAGTTAGCCTATTGTTGTTTTAAAGGATATTGCAGGCTGTGTTCAATCACTGTTCATATTGCTAGCCTGTCATTTTTAGAAGGAGTGTGTGAGATGTTACCGCTGTGTGCTGCCTCTAACTGCTGATCATTTTTCATAGCTGATAGGAAGTGCTCCGCATTAAGTTCTAACAGTTCTCTAAAAGGATGAGTTGTGTTTGTCCTTGCAGTTGAATTCCTACACATCAGTGACACCTCCTACCTCAAGGAATGGACAAACATTTTTTTATATCCCTGCTTATGCAAAACATCTTATACGTCAAGACAACTTTGGTGGATATTTAACTGACTCAGTTTACATGGGATTCTGCAAAATAGCCTAAGCAATTCATTTAGAACTGTACTTCAAGCTTAGAAAGGAAGACACCTTAGCTGTCACCTTGTGCTTTAAATGGCCTCTTCATGATAAGAAGTGACCAAAAAGAGCTGAAAGAGGCCAAGGGTTCATCACCTCTCCTCCTAGACAAATTGTCCTCTCTACCACCTCTGTAGAACTTTGGCTGTGAGGTCGCAGGCACATGAACCCTTACAAGTCCAGTGTTTCTCTTTTTCCTAAAATTATGCCCATTTTTTAACAGGAGATGCATTTAATTCTTTAAAAAATGCAAATCACTGTTTTCTACTTGTCAGAAAGGACTACTGCAAAAAGAGTTCCTGGGTATTAGGCGATGACAACAAGGCAAGAGTTTCCAATGAACAAACCGCCATCTGTCCCTTTGTCCCGTCTTCCTCCATGTACCCTGACAACATTGATCACTATTGGCCTTCCAGATGGCTCTTTGGAAGCTGTTTATTTTGAAAATCATTTCAAAATCTTCCCATTTAATTAAGAGAATTCAGTGAAAGCCTGAACTGCAGGGAGTTGTCGAATTGGCCAAATCATTTTAACTTTAGGAAAAGGATAAAGTGATCAAAATCATTATGTACTTGATTCAAAAATCAAGACAACTGGAATGAGCTCTTGATGGCTGTGATCAATCTAGTGGTGCAGAGGAGGGTAGCATATTGACAGCAAATGACCTCTGCAGGACAAGAGCATGACAAGGGTGCTGTTAGTTATTATGAAAATAGACCACTTTAAAAGGGCCCTTGTTTCTTTATTGCATATTGATTTAGCCAGGGTGATTAAATTCTAATTGCTAAGGACAAACCACAAAAGCATTTGTGTGAGCAAAAGAATCAAATGAAGGGGTGGTGACCCTTCAGTAATTGTGCCAATTGGTATTCCTCATGGTTTTCTAAAGATGATCCATGACCAAAAATATAATTGGGAGCTTCAGTGAGGGCCAGGAACTAGAAACTGTTAGAAATACAGATATAATAAAGATATTCTTTCTGCACACTTGACTATAAAAAAAAATGTGGAAAAATCCTATAAATATTACTAAAGCTCCAAGAATTTCTACTGTGGCTTAATTAAATTTTTAAAATAAGTTGAATCTTTTCATAAGCTCACAGAACATAGTATCTGTTTCCCCTGTGTTAGCCCATTTTGTTCCCCTGTTAACAGAATCCCTGAGACTGGGTAATTTATAAAGAACAAAGATTTAGTTCTCCCAATTCTGGAGGCTGGGAAGTCCAAAGTTAAGGGGAATGCATACTGCAGCAGACCTTCTTGCTGCATTATCTCCATGGAAGAAGGCAGAAAGGCAAGACAGCACACACATGCATAAGAGTAGGGGGGAATGGATCTGCACCCACCATGTTTTAAGAAACCTATCCCCACCATTATCACTCCAGTGATAATGTCATAACTCATTTAAAAGACAAGCCCTCATTACCTAAGCACTTTTTAAAGTTCCTACCTCTCAACAATGTTGCACTGGAGTTAATGTTCAAACATACAAACTTTGAGAGACACATTCAAATCATAGCATCTCTTCAATGTTTTATTATGAAAAATTCAGATATAGAAAAGTTGAAAGAATTGCAAACACTCTATACCCACCACTTGTACCATATCATTAATTTTTGCTATTTGATTTATTGTATCTGTCCGTCTTTGGTCTCAGGGTGTTATAGGCACCAATATACTAAGGAATCACATATCCCATACAATTATATTTTCTTCCTCGGAACTTGTCCATAACTGTTCATAAAATTTTACCCTTAGGTCACCTCTTAACTAGAAAACCAGACTTACTGTACACAATTTTCAGGCTTTTTGTAAGAATTATTAAGATGATAAATGCCAGGTTTCTATCACGAAATTCAATAAATGATAGGTAATACTGCTGCTGTTCCTAAGCAGAAAATATTTTCTTTTTGCTGAATGAATTGAAGTACCTAAAGTTGGTATCAATTTTATCATAGCTAGATTGAAGCAGATAGGAATGATCCATAACATGCTGACTCATGTTCAGTTTCAATCTGTATTAGCCAAGATTCTCCAGAGAAATAGAACCAAAACTATATATAGATATGTAGACAGACAGAGATTTATCTTGTAAATTTGTCTCACCTAATTATAAAGACTAAGAAGTCCTACAGTCTGCCATCTCAAACTGGAGGCTCTGAAAAAACAGGGGTGTAGTTCTGTCCAAGCCCATAAGCCTGAGATTAGAGGAGCCCTTAGTATAGTTCCTGGTCTGAGTCCCAATGACCAAGAACAAGGATGAGGATGATATAAGCTCTGGTCCATGTCTGAAGATCCAAGAACCAAGAACACCAATGTCCAAAGCAAGGACAATATGGATTTCCCAGCTTATGCAAAGAAAAAAATCCATCCTTCTATCTTTTTGTTCTATTTTGGCCCGCAAGAGGTGCATGATACACATCCACATTGGTGAGGATAATTTTCTTTATTTAGTCTGCCAATTCTAATGCTAATCTCTTCTAGAAACACCTCCACAGACACAGAAATATTTTACCAGTTAGCTTCATATTCCTTAAGCCCAGCCAAGTGGACACATAAAGTTAACATCACATCTTTCTTCAATAGGACTGAAGATCCTCTCACCCTTGGCCAGTGGCATGAGCTGCATGTATCTCGCACAGCGAAGAATGGTATCTTACAGGTGGATAAGCAGAAGGTCATAGAGGGAATGGCAGAGGTAAGAAGACCACAGCTTTTCTCTTGCTGGTTAGTGTGAACCAGGTTACTGTTCTCTGCTGGTCCTGGTTGAAAAGCAGCACAGTCTGGTATTTAAGCACATGGATTCCAGTGCTAGGATTGTAATCCAAGCTCCCAACAGGGCAATTACTTTTCTACTTTACAGTTATAAGTGGGAGTTATAGTAATAGTACTGACCTCATAGGGCTATGAGGATTGATTAATACTTAATAAACATAGCCTTAAGGAATTGCCTACTGCCATCTTTATCCTCAACCTCCTCCCTTATTCTTATCAGCAGCACAATATGGTAGGCAAGAATATGACCCTGAGTTAGGGCCAGTGGCCCAAGGGGGACATGTCTGACAAGAGCAGACTGCAAAGACACCTAAGTTGACAGCCCGGCTCCATTGCTTATTCTGGTGCAAGCTCATGCTAGTTACTGGACCGCCCTCATCTGTGTTTTGTAAAGTCTCTCTAGTGTCCTTATATCAATGGAAATAATGTTGATAATACTAGTGCTTGCTTCATGGAGTTATGAGAATTATAAGGTGTATGTGTATATCACAACAGTACCTGATACATACTCAGCACTGTGTAGCTTTGCTCATTATTATTATTGCTAGTTAATAGTATATTTCATGGACCCAAAGGCACAGAATTTCTACTGGAGTTTGCAACTTCCCTCCATGATTTTATTTCCCATGTCATGTTCAAAGAAAACGCTATTTTTAAGAGGTGGTAAAGGAGATTCACTTCAAACTATAGCTTAGTAAGATTCTATACATACACAAAAATTACAGCCCCCCCAAACAGATTTGCCAATGTCTTGGTTCACAACAGTCTTTATTCTGTGCAAAGCAAGGCTTCAAGGGGACACCAGCAAATCAGGGTGTATTGATAAGGAAATTTATTGATAGAAAAAAGGAAAGGAAAAGAGGACTTTGCTGGGAAAAGAGCGAGTTGGTTAAAGACATCTATGTCCAGACTGCTGGGAAAAGGAACAACTCCTCCTCCTCCTCCCCCACCTCCTCCTCCTCTCCCACCTCCTCCTCCTCCTTCTTCTTTTTCCTCCTCCTCTTCTTCTTTTCTTCTTCTTCTCCTTCTCCTTTTCTTCCTCCTCCTTCTCTTCCTTCTTCTTTGGTCTTTTTGAGACAGGGCTTCACTCTGCAGTTCAGGCTGACCTTGAACTCACTTTGTAGCCCAGGTTGGCCTTGAACTCTCAGGGATCCTCCTGCCTCAGCCTCCCAAGTGCTATGATTACAGGCACGCATCGACATGATTGACAGCCAAGGACCTTCTTGAGAATAAGAATTCCAAACTGGGCTCTTCACTAAGAGATAAGCACACTTCATACCTAGAAAAGGCTCCATATATATTTGTGAAAGGAAGAAGAGATGAAATGAAGGAAGGAAGAGAGAGAGAGGGAAGGAGGAAGAGAGAGAGAACATGGGTGAAGGGATATAGATTTTTAAAGGGACAACTGGAGTCATTTCTGGAACAATCCAGAACATTCTTACAGTGTAGAACAGTCTAATAGTCTAGCTGATTATTGGCTTAGTTATACTCACTCATAAAAGTACTGTATCTCTCAAAGCCTTACTTAAAATCATCTGTAAATCAGGAATGATGAAAGCTCAGCATGGCAGTATTTGTAAATAGTGGTTTTTAAGTCTATTGTAAATAAAGAACATGGTACAGTATTTGCCACTAGGATCTAAGAGACAGCACAAAGGTAAAACCCACATATCAGAGTATCTTTTACCACCATGTCAGCAAACAATCTTGAAATCAATATGGTAGAGTGAGTGTCCTCCTCTTGGCTTTCTGAACTGGGTGTGCATGGATGGAGCCGCCTGCCTGGAAGGCAGTGTAAAGAAACAGAAGGGGCAGCTCTGATGAGTGTATTTGAGAGAAGTTCTGTTGAAGCTGAGTCAGGAGTGGGAAGGTCCATTGCTTGACCTCACTGAGATGAACCCTAGTCAACTCCCTCCCTGAAAGGCTTTGTGTTCCCCAGCTGTCCACACCATGCTCAAAGCATGGCGGAGGCAGGAGGCAGTGGCCTTACCAGGGAGAAGTGGGGAGGGGTTAGAGTACACCATGGGGAGCTAGTCTGGGAACTACACATATGAGAGCCTGGGCCCAACTAAGCCTGAACCCAGATTTAGAGTTTGGGATTGACTCCAACTATGCAGAACTCATAGAAGGGCCATGCCTATGGGGACTTCAGACATGGTGGGTACTTGACAATGTTTATTTAATAAATGACTGAATGATGCTACTGTTTGCATTTCTTTTATCACCAAGGGAAATCATAGCTAAGATGTGTTTATCTCCCTTGAACTCAAATTGTTACTTATCTCTATTGATTATCTTATAAGAGTTTAACATTTTGCTTATAGCTCATGTTGGAATGTACTTAGACATTAACTATTACACAGCTTATTATCTACCAATGCATTGGAGTTTAGGCTATTAAAACCCCCAGTAACAGGGGCATTGATATGAAAAATTCTGCCTTCTGTATTTAATCACCAGGACCACCTCCCCTGCACCATGCTTTCTTTTTTCCCTTTGTCTATCAGGTTCTATCTTTACCATTATTGAATGTAACAGTAGCCACACACTGGAATGCTGATTAGGCATCCAACTCTGGGCAAAGTGCTAACTAAATGGTATCTCAGCAGTCCAGATAGGTAGACTGTGCTGTATTCAATCACAAACAATCCTAAAATACCACCAGCTGATAAGAAGTGTTTAGTTCTTGCTCACCATGAAGGTCCACCAATCGTTAGCTGTGGCTTTCATGGGAAACCCAGGCAGGCGGGGTGGGGCGGGCAAGGTGAACCATACTCTGGCTGTGAAAGCTTCTCCAGGGGGATTTGGTTCCCTTCTCCTCTTGTTGTATAGGCTAAAACAAGTCATATGGCCCCACCCGAGCTCCAGTTGGAGACGGTCTTTCTATAGAGAGGGTACTTCTGACACGGCCCTGCACACCAGCCAGCGGTAGTGCGGTGTCCTCCACTCCTCCTGACACACCCAGGAGGGGCGTTCCTGCTCTACACATGAGGAAACTGGGTTTGGGAGAGGTTCACAGTTCACCGACACCCAAACATCAGGCCAGCTGCTCAGGAGGGTCAGGCAGGAGGATTCAAATTCAAGACCATCCTGGGCAACTTAGCAAGACCCTGTCTCAAATAAAATTTTTAAAAGGATGGAGGTGTAGCTTCATGGTAGCACAGTTATCTCATTCTTACTTCAGTTCCATCGCCAGCTCTGAAAAAGAAAAAAAGACAATCATTATATTGGGTCTTCAAGCCTTCTGTAGCTGTCTCCGCAGAGAACCAAAGAAGACGTATTTGCTAATCTTAACCATCTATTGTAAATCTTATTTGTGATTTTCTGTTTTAATCTCTTGGCAGGGCGGCTTCACTCAGATTAAGTGCAACACGGACATTTTCATTGGTGGAGTCCCCAGCTACGATGAGGTGAAGAAGAACTCAGGCATCGTCAAGCCGTTCAGTGGGAGCGTCCAGAAGGTACAGGCTCCACTTCTGAAATGTGTTTATTGCATCACCCTGACCTCAGATAACAGAACAGAGGGCTATGATCAGTGTGATTGTCACCCAAGAAAAAAGCTTTGAGGAAGTCTAAAGTTTGAAGATTCTGGTTTTTAATAATCTTGGGATAGTTTTCCAACCCCACACCTCTTCCTGCCTAGCAGACATCACCTCAATGCCATTTTCAGTGAAAATAAATTTTATAGCAAATCTACCAAAACACTCTAGGACTGCTGAGGTAGGAGCTGGCCCCAGTTCCTGCAGATACTTCTACGGTCAGGAAGGAGCTTGATGAGAACAAATGGCGACTTTGGGCTTATGCTTCTCGCTGGCATTAGTGTGTGGTTTGCCCCAGATAATAGCCGACTCCCACACATGAGCAGTTATTGCTCATCAGTCACGTAACCAAACCCTTAGTACAGATTTAGTGCCAGGTGTGGTGGCGCATGCCTGTCATCCCAGCACCGGAAGGCCGAGGCAGGATGATTGCTACAAGTTTGAGGCCAGTTTAAGCTACATAGTGAGTTCAGGGGAAGCCTGAACTTTACAGCAAGATCCTGTATCAAAAAACAAACAAAACAGAGTATAGATTCAAGAGCCTTTCCTTAGAAGGTTAAAAACCAGACAAAAAAAACAAAACAAAACAAAACAAAAACCGCTGAGCCAGTGAAAGATACTGCCTGCACTCTTATCTGTCTCTTGTTCCTTCCGCTGGGGCTGCCCATGCTCCTTTCCATCAGGAGGATGTGCTCCATCGGCACACATGCCTGAGTGACTCTTGCTCACAGGGGAAAGGCTGTGGAGTAAGCTTACTAGGTTTCTGGGTTTTGTGTATTTTTTTCCTTCAGCAACCAAGGGTGCCATGAGGGCCATCACTGGATGAAGTATCAGAGAGGCAAGAGGAAGGGCCACGGGCTGTGTCCTTCTCGTCTCATTTCCAGTGTTGGGCACAGAAAAGGGCCCCCCTGACACTTGCTCACTCTGATGTGTTTCCCTTTGCTGCTGAACTGTGACACTGAGGACACCTTAGATCAGACCATTGTCCCTTCACGGGTGCGCTGGGCCATGCTCGGTCCAGGGCTTTTTCACTGAGGAGGCAGGCTGAGAGGCGAAGGAGCTTCATCCCTCTGCCCGCCCTTCTCGGGCTTTGCTCTGGCTCCTCACAGAACACACAGCCCTCTCCTGCCACCTAGGCAGCTGGCCCCACCCCCGTGAGTGCATCTTTGGCTGTGCCAGATCCAGCAGGGACCGGTGACAGTCTTCATGTGTCTTGAGTACACGCTACTCAGTTCCATAATCCTTCACTTGCGGATGAAAAGGTGAAACTGTAGAAGGATTTGAGCTCCCTGCTAGCAGCTTCTGAGATTCAGGACTAGGAGAAATTTTCTCCCAACTTTTAATGCTCTCCAGCGGGGAGGCAGGCCTTTGGGAATGTGGCTTCATGGCAGGAAGTACCACTGCTAACCTCTTAGCTCTCCTGGGCAGTGGGGGTCCCTTGGGAAGTGTTCTCCATGTCTCTGGGTCCTGCAGAGTGAGCAACGGCTCAGAGTCACACCTCCTAAGTCTAGGACTGAAAATGTTGGGTCCATTTATTTGAGGGTAGTGAGCGCAGTAATCCCTCCCTATAATCCATCTGTTTGTATAGCTGCATTGCAGTGGAAAAACAGCAGAGGTGCCCTCCAGCCTTAGCAAACGTATGTGATCAGCGCTTTACTTGTTGGCTTTTAGTGGTGGGGAAGAGGGTGGGAAGTGAGGCAGCTCAGGAATATCAGGGAAGGGGGATAACAGGAGTGAGTGGGATAACTGGGGAGGCCCAGGTGATGGAGTTTTAGGAAACTATGTGAGAATGGTAGCCACAAGCCCACGGGATACACCGGAAGGCCTCCCTGGATTCCACAGGCACAGAAATGACTTCCTCTCCTTGACTGCTCCCTCCTGGTTTTGTCCTGGTCCCTACTCTGCTTCACAGAAGCCTTTCTTAGCCCTGGCTGCAGCTTCCCAGATTCTTAGAAGCTCTTAAGTGTTACTAAGGACTACTTCCCACCATTGAAGGCTAGCTCAGCTGCACTGGGTGTTTCCTGAGAGCCCCAGACAATTCTGCTGTGCAGTAGACTGAGGAGCTGAACGTTACTGTTCTTGGAAGTCCTTCCTGACCTTCCCAAATTCTTTAGCATCAAAGAAGGGCTTCCCTCCGTGGTTCCTTCTAAGTACCAAACCTAACCCTTCAGTTCCTGCATCACTCACAAGACAATCAAAGCAGCAACTGAACTGTTTTCTTGTGTTTACCCTCCTTTATTACTGTGTGCAGCTTGGATTGGTGTACTGAAGGAAACTAGGAAATTTCAAAGATGTTTTCCCAATTCCTGAATTTCCTTTCATTTCTGTCTCCCAAGATCATCCTGAATGACCGAACCATCAATGTGAAGCATGATTTCACATCTGGAGTGAACGTGGAGAATGCTGCCCACCCCTGTGTGGGGACCCCCTGTGCCCACGGGGGCAGCTGCCGGCCCAGGAAGGAGGGCTATGAGTGTGACTGCCCGTTGGGCTTCGAGGGCCTGCACTGCCAGAAAGGTACATGCAGGGGTCTCTAGCAATACTTTTGAGGGAGTGGAGACCACAGAGTATTGGGGAACTGATTAGGTGTTCAGTTGTGTATAAACTGCTATACTGTCTTAATAAGAATTAAATGGTGAAATACTTCTGTAACCATAGGGAAATAGCTTCTCCACCCCTCCCCTGGCTCCTTTCCTGAGAACCCCCCATGGTCTTGCAACCAAAAGGTTAACCCATAAAATAACAGGGGTTCCCAGAAGGTATGAGCCATTCCCAGAGCCAGTCTTGGCAGGGGGACACTTGTGCTTTATGGGTGATAAATATTTTAACTATTTTGACCCCTGCCTGTGAGTGCTCCAAAGAGCAATACTGCCCAAATACAGAAAACTAACAATTATGCATTAGTTGCCCCAAACTAAAGTATGCATAACCTCCTGTGGAATGCTATTTTCCATGCCATTACATCTCCCAAAGCCGCAGTTTTTTTAATCATAGAATGAGAGTGATTATAGCAGTACTTTCTACCACAAGGGTTGTGGTATAGACTAACTGAGGCAATGCATAGAAGAGTGCCTGGTAAGCACTACTATTGTTGAGAAAAACAAAATCCTTAGGCTGGTGTTATAAGCTACTTCATTTTCATCTTGTCCTTGTCTGAAAGCTGGGCAAGTAACAGACCACAGTCCCTGCTCAACTATTGCTGTATCTGCTCAGGGGAAGCAGAAGCTGAGGTCCTGGAACCTAGAAGAGGCTGCTCACATATGTGCCAGAGGCTGGGCCACGTGGACCTTCTGCTTTGCAATGTCAGTCTGGACTCACCCGCTCAGGAGCTAGGAAAAAAATAAAGCAGTGGGCCCATGAAGGAATGTTCTCTCTCTTTCTCTCTCTCTCTCTCTCTCTCTCTCTCTCTGTCTGTCTACACACACGCACACACACACACACACATTCCTAATAATTATCAAAATTAGAGCTTAGAGGAAAACTCTACATTATAGATAGTATAGATAGGTAATTTGAAACGATAGAGAACTTTTTTTACAGCAATCTTAGAAAACATAAAGGATGCCAGTTTGTCAATTAGAAGACCTAGTAGTATTTCTTATGTTTAAATGAATTCTGAAATTTGCATGGCAAATCATAAAATGTGTGTTTTAACAAAGAAGAGCAATTCACCTATTTGTAAATTATCCTGATTATAATTCTGACAAGAATGCTGTTGACCATCAGCAGAGGTTGTACTTGCAGAGATTTCATTCAGGAGGGACTCATTTGCTCAGAAGATTGGGTTTGTATTTCACACATCAGTGTTCGCATTTCCAAAGCCTCTGATGTTACGACGGGCACTTCAAGCTTGCTTGTAACACTGTCAGTCTATAAAGTCCAAGCTTAACTGAACACCGAGCTTTCGGAATTGAAGGAAGAAGGAAAGGGTAACTTGTGATCTTCTTAGTCTCCATTTCTTTCTATGGAACATTGGCCATAATAGATACCAGGTGCTCACATCATGGCTTTGTGACTTAGGTTCAGGTCCTGCAACAGATCTTACCAGAATGATGGGGCAGATGCCAGTGAGAGCCTGGGTTCCTGACATGATCTGAGGGAGCAGACAGCAGCAGAGAGAGCCAGTAGGCACTTAGGCCTGTTTTCCTGCAAGGTAGGCTAGAACTAAGATTAAAACCCAGCTAAACTATCAGCTGCCTTGAGTCTGGCATTAGTGTCACTTTGGGCTTTGAAATCAGGATACTGATTCTGGAAAATGGAAGCCTTGTGTAAATACTGGAAAGGTTCATAGATCGGAGGTGTGGCCCACGTCCCATGCTAATGACTGGAGACGATTCAAGAAGCAGAAGTGGACTTGCAGACCACCCTGGCTGCTAAGAGATCTCCCCTTTGTCCCTGTGAAATGGGAGGCAGGCTCAGGGGAGCCTGAATCCGAACAGGTGGCACTGATTCTCCCCACCTGCCAAGGCGTTCCGGAGGCCACAGTTTCTGTACTTCAGCTGCAGCTGTATAAAATGAAGCTTCTTCATCCCAACCTGAACACTCAGGAAAAGAAGGAACCAGAAGTTTTTCTAACTCGCAGCCATGGCTGTGCTCTACTAGGACCCTAAATCCTGACTTTGATGCTCTTCCCACCTTCCTTTGGGGCTCTCACTTTCAGGCATCTTCTGCAGGGGCAGCAGAAACACCGAAATGACACCCAGGATTTGGGGGCAGAATTATTCATAGTGGTGGGCACTGATCCGGATCATTCCCCGACTACCAGGCCCTGATTTCTGGTGGTCTAGGGCTTATACGGGATAAGAAAGCAGGAAATCCAGAGGCAGAATGTCTTGTCCATTGGGCATTGGTTTATACTAAGTGCACCATAGTGGCCAGCTGTGCATCACGGTGACCAGCCGTTTCTAAGAGACAGAAGCAACCGGAACTGGAACAGGAACTATTCCCTGGGCAACTAAGAAACTGAAGTATACTGGCTTGGGGGGGCATTTTCTGATACATTTTCCCCCTGGTAATCTTTGCTGGACATATTACATGTGATCTTCTGAGACAAGGCCCAACCAGAATTTAGGCCTGTGTGTCCTGTAATATTACTCTGGCGAGATAGTGAGGGAGTTAATCTGATCTAGGAGTGTCCAGTGTGTCTTGGACATTCATCAAATCTTAGTCAAGTATTTGACTGATTGTTCTATTCTCTTGAGGCAACCATCCATGGAGTGTTTCAGGCACAAAACCAAACCAAACAAACAAAAAACCCCACAGCTAGCAGGGGACAGGGAAGCAAGAACTGGAGTAAGCAGCCTGAAAAGACACAAAAATCAAGGGGAATAGGTATGGAGCAATCCTGTGAATGATGTCCTCAAGCTTCAGCCAGGTGTGGACTGGTCAGCATGCATTGTCTCTTCAGAGTGGGCCTCAGAGGACCTGTCCAGATAAATTATTCAGCAGCTCTAAGGCTGGATTTCTGAAACTTATAGAGGTAGTTAATATGCACCTGGGTTATATGTGTCCACAAGAATATCTACAGGTTTAACTAGTCTTTTAACTGGTTACAAGCTATATGTAGTTTTTCTTTGATCTAGTTTTTGAGTTATCTCTGCTACAAGTGCAGGCCCATTGTTGCTGTCACTGATCAAGGGTGGGCACATCTAGGGATGATTTTTTTACAGCAGGATCCTACAGCTTTTATTGTCTTCTTACAAGCGCGGGAAGGCATCTTTTCTGTATTGTTGACAGCACAGAGATCTTGCCCAAGGTGATTAACAGTCTGTCAGGCTGAAGTGTGGCTGCTTGTGCTTTCTGCGACATCTGATAGTAAGAGGGGTCATGGTGAGGTGGCATGGTTGATGTCCAGGCCCAAAAATGAGTCTTTAGTCTATACCTCTGGGAGGAGAGTTTTCAGAACTTTAGGAACAGCCAAAGTTGAAAGTGCAGAGTTAAATGAGCAGGAGGCTGACTGGCATGGTGCAAAGGAGATGCCCTCCCAGGCTGCAAGCTTGTGCCTGGCAGAAGGGGTGAAAATCAAGAGTCCAACTTGCCCTGGTGATGGTAACTTTTTGACAGAGGGAACTTTTGGAGGCAGAGAGTTCTGTTCCATTGTCTACCAGGAAAGTCACAGGTTTGCCCTGATTTTGCACTGATCACAGGCTCTCAGGGGCCCAGTTTGATAGAGCCCACGCTGTCCTATCTATTCAGGCCTGAAAGGGTGCAACTCGTTTGTCAGGGCTGCCAGTCCAATTTTCCTCAGTCAAAACGTGGAACTCAGAAGAAATTGCTGACAGTCATCTTGGTGGGCATTAGGTAATGCCATCAGACCAGTGTAGGTGTGTCTCCCTCCCGGGGGCCTCTATGGCAGTGAACTGGAACTGGTTCAATTAGCTGGAAGTTGATGAGTCAGGAGTGGAGGGTGCAACTGTGGTGGCTGACAAAGGTGCCAATGTGGAATTCTCAGGAAGAATGGGCCTTTTCCCTTTTTTTTCTTTGAGATGCAGGGAGCAGTTTGGTTTCACTTTTAACTCCATAAAAGCCCCTCTTCCTGCACTCTGTGACTGTGGGTTTTAACTAATTAGTTCCCTTTCTATCTCCCTGCAGCATATGTTGTGTATCCATGAATGATGGTGCAACAAAGGGTGGGTGCCCCTCAGAGAGGGACCACTCAGATGCCCACCTGGCTGTGCCCCTGAGGGGATTTAGGCATTGCTTAGCTAACGAGGGTGCAAGGCTTCCATTATGCCATATGTTGACCCCCATGGAACTGTAGGTGAGGGTCCAGTCAGCCACCGCAACCAGTGCTTCCCAGTCATGGTGCGCAGACAGAGTGGCCTATTGCTTACACTGTCCGTGCCACTCACCGGCACAGTCATTCAGCAGGACTCAGAGGTTAGACATTCCAACCCCCGTTTCCTTGAAGGTGGCCTTAACTAACAAAAGAGTTGATCAAGTTCTTCTGCTCAAACTGAGCAGGACTGACAGACTGACTAACTGGGGTACCCTCAGGGGGATATTACTGGAATCAGGCGAACAGATAGACAGAGAGATTGCCCTTTGGGGTATGATGTGAGCTGCTTGAGCAGGGAGCCAGGAATCTTTCTCCAGACCTCTGAGGGGACTCACAAAATGTCCAGGGCATGCCTTTCTGTCGGGACCTGGAGAGGTCCTTGCTCCATCCATGAGGGCCATGACCAGTGACTGAAGAGGTCAGCACAGCTGGTCTTCCTGGCCAGATGCAATGGCAAGCAGAAACACCAAAATGACACTCAGGATTTGGAGGTGGATTTATTTTATGTTGATGGGCACTGATCAGGATCATTCCCGGAATATCAGGCCCCGATCTCTGGTGGTCTAGAGCTTATATAGACAAACAAGCAGAAAATACACAGAGGCAGAATGGCTTGTCAATTGGGGATTGGTTTATACAATTTGCATCATAGTGACCAGCTATGCATCACAGTGACCAAGTGTTTCTGAGAGACAGAAACAACCGGAATTGGAACAGGAACTTTTACCCGGGCAACTAAGAAACTGAAGTACACTGGCTGGGGAGCCATTTTCTGTTACACTTCTACCAGAGCTAGGCCTCATCACGTTTTCTCTCACAGGGAGTTATCAAGAAGTCTGCCCTTCAAAACATCCCTCCCCTGCCTAGAAACTTTTTTCTCTATGCGTCTCAAAATTGATCCTTCTTGGGTTCCAATCCCAAAGAAATCTTGTATCTAAGGACATTACTAATAATTGAAGCAGAGATTCACAAAGTGAGTGTAAAAACTAAGTTCTGAGGAATATCAGTGGCTGCTTTGTGTGTACACACACACACACACACACACACATGCACACACACATGCACACACACATGCCATATACACTCACATGCAGAGACACCCACACAAACACATATATTAACATGTACGTGGGTGCGGAGTTCTGTAGTTAAGTACACTGGGTAGCTCTGGGTGAATAATAAAACAGTTCTCTCTTCTCCAGGACTTCTCAGAGACTTTGCTGTGTTCTGAATGTCCAGAGGAGTACAGGACACAAAAACCTTTCATGGTTCTGCCAGGCGGGAGCTGACAGTTCCCTTGATAGAATTTCTAAGCCCTGTTTCGACCTATTCAGCTCTTTATTACTGAGTTTAGACTCATACTGTGCATAACCCTGCTGGCCACTAGATGGGGGTGTTTCTCCGTACACGTGAGCGACTGGCCATAGGACTGACAAGTTCTCAAGAGAGGAAACCCGAGCTTAGGGCACAGGTGTGGTGCGGGGGGCAGAGTTTATAATCCTACAAGATTGCCCATACCTGATCTGTGCCCCTCTACCACCCTCACAACTTTCAAGGAATTCTGTGCTGTTTTTAGTAGATGCACATCCTGTTGCTGGGGCTGATTGGGATAGTACTTTTTGTCCCAATGTATAAGAAAATAGCTTCAGCATGGGATATAGCTCAGAGGACAACACCTGCCTGGAAAGCACAAGTCCTGAGTTCAATTCCTGGTATAAAAAAATTCTTAAAAAAAGAACAGAGCCTCAGCCTCAGAGCCTCAGTAAATATATACCCACCTTTAAAAAGACTGTACAGGGAAATGCAAATTAATAAGACATAAATTATGCATGCTACAACAAATTTATTTTTTTAAGCTGGCACATCATTAAACAATTTGGTAATGTTTAATCTAAAGACTAGTTCTTAGCTAAAAGGCTAACTGAATAGGAAAAGTTTTTTGTTTGCTTGCTTATTTTGCAGGTACAAAATCAACTTAATATGGACTGAATATACTTTATCCAAAATGCTTGAGACCAAAGTGTCTGTAATTTCAGGGTTTTTTTTTCAGTTTCTGGAATACTTGCATATACATAAAGCTATCCTGGAGTTGGAGCCCAAGTCTAAATATGAAATTTACTTACATTTCATGTAAACCTTTTATATGGAGACTTAGGGCAACTGCAGATATTTTTAGTCACCTGCTTCTCGAATCTAGCCCATCACAAGATCCCAGGTGTGAAATCTTCCACTTCTGGGGGCATGTCAGCATTCAAAAAGTTCCAGATTTTGGAGCATTGAAGATTTCAGATTTGGGGATTTGAGATGCTCAACCTGAGTCATGAAGAATTCTGGGCCTAGTAGAACCGACCACAAAGGCAGCACACTGCCCGTCAGGGAAGCATTTGACTGAGTTGGACGCTCATCCATCAAGGTGCTGCTGAGAGGTGTGCGACTGTTGGACCTAAACTGATACCTGCAGAGTCCTTTCCTGCGAGTGTGGGAAACAGCCAAACTGTCGCTCACCTCTTTGCTGAGAATGTGCAGTCCCTCAAAGTGGGAAATTTACTTTGTCCTGGCTGTGGAACTTTCAACATGGAAGCTACTGTTCACTGGGGTATTTTTTGTGCCATCAAATGGCACATGGTTATAGTATAAATGTGAGAGAAAGACAAAAACACATTTTGGCAAACATCCATAAATGGCATTGCCCCCAAGGAAAGAATGCAGAAAAAAATTAGGAAGAAAACTGTAACTATAACCTCTGACAAGGTAAGTGCCTCTTTCTCCACGTCTGGGAGAAATGTGGTTTGTCAGTTGAAGGTGAGAGACCCTCAGAAGTACCAGATGGCTCAGTGTAAACGTCTTGGTTCACTGCCCCCTCAGCCCCCAGGAAGCCGAGCTAGAGGGGAGGTGGATGACTTGGTGCCGGTCTGCCAGTCGTGCCAGGACAGATTTCCAGGGGTTCGTGCTGCAGTTCCAATTCCGTTCCCTGCTGGATCCTCGGCAGGGCTCTGTGAGGGAAGCAGGCTGGTTTCAGGGCTCTGTGACCAAGGTAGCCGAGATGTTACAGTGACACCGAGCAGCTGACCCTCCTTTTCTGTTTCATGCTGGCGCCTGGCAGAGTGTGGGAACTACTGCCTCAACAGTAAGTACAGTGTGTCCCGGGAGAGGTTGTGAACCTTGCTGGGCCCCTGCCAGGATCTGCCAGGGCAGGCTTTGGCCAGGCTGGGGCACAGCCCAGGCCAGCCACATGCAGAGGGCAACCAGGGTGAGAAGCGAGGGCTCCGATGTGCCCAGGGTGATGGGAATCTTCCCAAGAGTGAGCTCCCGGGCCCTAGGAACGCACTGGTCTGCCTCCCAGCTGGAGTTCTGGGTGCTAAGGGCCTGGGCTCGGAGCTTCCCAGGCAGCTGGACGTGGCTCCCACAGAGGGACCTCTCCTAAGGCTGTGTGTGCAGAGCTGGTATGTGACAAGCATGTCCTGACCATTTCATGAAGTCCGGGGGAACAAGGGCCGTTGGCCACAGGCCCAGGGACATAGCCAACAACAGCACGGACAGGCCCCAGCTGGCCCTCTCACCCTGGGGTGAGCCAAACTCGCTGGGGGCGCCACAGTTATGTTTAGCCCTGGGCAGGGCTCCCTGCCAGTCCGAGGGGATGCTCTCCCTTCTTCCCAGCACCGCTTTCCCTCCCCCTCCAGTCTGTTTGCTTTTGTTTTTTGTAGTACTGGGTGGGGAGTGAACCTGAGGCCTCACCATGAACTGTGTCTCCAGACCTTTTTAAGTTTTTTTCTTTTTTGAAAGAGTCTTGCTAGTCTGAGTTGCCCAGGTTGAGCTCTAATTTATGACGCTCCTGCCTCAGCCTCCCAGAGTGCTGAGATTAGGCAGCACCACACCCAACTCTACCTCCTCTAGTTGTGCAGCCCGGATTCCCTTCCTCCCCACCCTCATCCCTTCTCCTTTCTATTTCTAGCCCCCTGGGTTTCCTCCTTTCTGGGCTTCCCCTCCTTTCCTTGCAGGTTTCCACTTTCTGCTCCTTTCCTTGCAGGGGACTTCTGGGTTCTCTTTCTCTTCCTGCCTCTGCCTCCTTTTTCTTGGCATTTGCTCCTTTCCTGGTTGCTGCCTTCTCTTCCCAGCTTACTCCCTCATCCTCGGGCCACTCCACAGCCCGCTCCTTTCCCTTCTAATCCCCGCTCTGCCTTCACCAAGGGGGAGGGCTGGCCCTGCGGCCGCAAAGCCTTCAACTGTCCCTGACAGCTGCTCCAGGCCGGCAGGTCCTTGTCCAGTGCCGTACTCCATGCTGCTGTGAGAGCAGCAGAGCAGTTTCTTGGATCATTACCTTAGAAATCATGGTCGGAAGTTTTACTCCTCTTCCTTTGTTTTATTTCATCTTTCCCTCCTCTCTTTTTCCCTTTCTTTCCTTCTTTTCTTTTGTTTTCTCTTTTCTTCTCTTCCTTACTTTTCTTTTCTTTGCATGAAAAGGTTTTGGGAGCACGCCATGGTGACCTGAATAAGAATTTATGCTTGAGGGCCCAGTGTCTTTGGGCTTGCTGTCTGTCTGTCTTTGTGTGTAAAAGTTTAAAAAATTGTTTCTGTATCTTTCCAAAGAGGAAAGAAGCATTTCTGTTATCTCTCAAGCAGAAATCCCCTCACCACATCCCAGTTTGTGACACCAAACACAGCTGCTTACTCTGCTCTTCAGCTGAGTGTAAAAGATAATTCCTCAGGAAAACAAAATGATGAGAAATTTAGGAGGAAGGAAATTCACTTGGAAAATACTGGCAAGTAAAGAGGTGGCCAGGAGCCAGAATTAAGGAGAGCTCGGTCCAGCTCATGGTCTATTGCTCTCTTAGCTAATGATCCTGGGTAAATTCTCAATGCTTTCTGTGCCTTATGTTCCCTTTATGTAAAAGGGGAGTAACCATCCCTGCCCGGCCAGGGATATAGCTCAGCAGCACAAGCGCCTGCCTGGCAAGCACAAGGTCCTGAGTTCGCTTCCCGGTACCATCCCTGCCCGTGCCTCACGCTTTCTTCCGCTTTGTAAGATCATAGTGAAGACCTGTGCAGTGTCACACTGGAAGGTGACTTGTAATCGTAAGCATCAAAGTCTCACCCAGTGCCCTCCCCCAGTCTCTCAAGGTCGTGGCTTAAGGGGTTCAGATGCATTAGCATTAAATAAAGAAACTCTAGGGCCCTGGGGATATAGCTCAGTGGCACAGTGCCTGCCTGACAAGCACAAGGTCCTGAGTTTGATTCCTGGTACCAAAAACCAAACAAACAAACAAAAAAGAAACTCTAGTAGGCCTTGTTTGGGAATTATTTTTTCTGCCTTCCTTGGCGGACATCTGGGGTTATCCCCAGCTGCTCCCCACGTGGCCCAAGCCCTACTCTTTGGTTTCCAAGAATCACTGGGAGCAATTCAAGTTTCAGCCCATTGCAAAACCTTCTCCATAGTCCTCAGGTCAGTGACAGTGACTGTCAGTCCCTAGGGAGGGACAAATGTCATGGTGCTAACTCTAGACCATCTCATTGGTCCCTTGAACCTGGCCAACTCATGTGCAGCCAAGAAGAAGAGAATGACAAGTTGTTAAGTGTCACGGTTCTAGGGGCTGGCCCTCCTGGTATATTCCTGCCACGTGTGTGAGTGGAGAGGTCCAGAGAGACGCAAACCATGTAATCTCGTTTTCTGTTCTGTCGCAGCCATCACAGAAGCCATTGAGATCCCACAGTTTATCGGCCGCAGTTACCTGACATATGACAATCCAGATATCCTCAAGAGGTAATAAGCTCCAATGGCATCTTACTGTCTCCCTGGCTGCAATTCCTCAGTATCTCTCCTGGGTTTTTCCTTATCTTTCATATCAGTAGATAATTCTCACAGAGGGCCATGGCCAGGGGATGGGGGGAACATATACAATAAACATGGAAACCAGAACAAAACCAAACAATTTGAAAACATCAGCTTTCCAAACAACCCTATTAAAATCCAGCCAAATCCTTTCTGGTCAAAAGGCCGGCAGAGAGTAATGTGACTGCCCCTGGGGTTTCCAATGTGCAGGCTCCGAGAGGCAGAGAGAAGTTGATGCACACGAAGCCAGGGTTGTGAGTGTGACGCCCCAAGCAGAGCATTCAGCTCTGTGCTGCTCTGTGGCCGGTCTGCAGCTCTGCCAGGGCTGGCTGCGGAAGGGCCCAGGGGCTCCCCACCCAGCCGTGCAGCTCCAAGCCCACTTCCTGCCAGCGCAGGACCTGCCTTGCATCTTGATCCACAAAGGTCCCACGTCCTCTTTGTCCTCTGGCTAGTGCAATGAGGACGTCTCAGCACTTTTCATGTGACTATAAAAGCATGGCACGAGGAAATAGCCATACCTTTAAACCCCTGGTGGCATAAGCTCCAGCTTATGACAAGCACGAGGTCTTGGGTTCGACTCCTGGTACCAAAGGTAGGAAGTGGTACCAGAAACCAAACAAACAAAAAAAGAAACTCAGTAGGCCTTGTTTGGGGATTTTTTTTTTCTGCTTTGGGCTGGAGTCAGTTCTGTTTGGGAACACCTGGGATAGGTCAAAGAAGACAAGGCTGACCCTCAGCAAACTCCTCCACCCAGTCGTGCTTATCTTAGGCATCTTCAGTTTTCCTCTTCTCTTCCCCAACCCTTTGTCATTTATACTGTGACATCCCTTGGCAAAATCATTTTAGAACTTTCCTTTCTCCTCAGGTTGACTAGATACCAACAAAGAAGGACAGATCTTTAAGCTAAAGGCATCTACATCTTAGGACAGATCTTGGTGGCTTTTCAAGAAACAAATGTGATTGAGAGAAATTTAGGGGGATGAGCAGTTGATGTCCTTGGTAACTCTGAGTGCATACCAGATAGACATTGCTTCAGATCTCTAATGCCAACTTGTACTCATCTGTGTTGTCTTTGGATCAGGCAGGGACTCAGGTAAAATGCATTCCCAGCAAGCAGGGACCCTCTTCCCTCTTCAAACCTTTCCCTCCAAATATAGAAGGTCATTTGGTCCCCAGAAGGCAAGAACAATGTGAAAGGGGCCCAAGTCTTTAGCCTCTGGTGCCCAGTGAGAGAACACCAGGTAGTTTCATGAAAGTAAGAGATGGGGAGGCTCTAAACCAGAGCAACTCTAGTGCAGTGTATGGGCGTGCCTAGATCTTATGTCTGTCTCTGTCTCCATCTCCGTCTCTGTCTCCATCTCCGTCTCCATCTCCTTCTCCTTCTCTTTCTCCATACCCATATCCATATCTATATGTATATCTAATCTCTACGTGCATATGTGTGAAGCCACAGACAGAAGCCAAGTTTAGGGATATATCTTTCAGAGATTATTTCTTTGTCAAATAACAGAAAACTCAGCTTAAAGCTTTCAAAGTGATGAGTACTAAGTGTTTCTTATAACAAGGAGTTCAGACTTAGAGTGGATCCTGGGTTGATTAATTCAAAGGATCGACTACATCATCAAAGACCCAGCTCTCATCATATGTCTGCTTTGTTATCCTCAGCATAGTCCCCAGCTGCTCATATAATGCTCATAATACGGTTATAAAACAGGGGATTATGCAGTAAATGTAAGAATGACTTTTTTCCTCTATGAGAAAGAGAATGAATCTTTCCCAGAATCATCCTGATAAATTTCCTCTATATCATTGTCATGTGTACTCCTAAATCAATCCCTCATGAGATAAATGAAACTATCTTGATTGGCTGATACTGATATATGAGTACATCCAAGGCAAGTGAGGGAGGGTGGGAGCTTGGAGTAAAAGTTTGGAAATAGTGGGTTTTTAGGGAGTGGGCCAGCAGCTGCCTCCTGGACCTCACTGCTCTTACTGGGAAGGGGCCGGTCAACATGGGCAAGGCAAACTTGGTCTGTTTCTGTCTACAGCAGGCTCTGGAAAGCCTAGATAGGAGTCCCACCCACTCTTCACTAGGGAAAGCACTCTACAGCTTCGGATCTGTGGGAAAGAAGGAGGGATTTTACAACTAACTAATGGGAGAACAGAAAAGAAACTTTTCTCGCAGTACCATATCAGTAGCAATGTTAAACTATGCCTATTTCCATCTCAGCTGTAGTTCTAGGACCTAAGCCTTGCTTATTGCCCTATATCACATCACATGCAAATCACCTTAATCAGAATGAATTTCTGAGCTGGTCTGTTTCCAAGCACTGATAAGAGCTACTTCCCTGCACTGGTAAATGCATGAAACTATTCCCAGCCCTAAATACCGAGCCAGGGCCCTTTCTGCCTCAACACTCCTCCCACCCTCAAGCTTCCTGTTTCTTTCCACTGTGGCTCCATCACAGCACCCCCGAACCATAATCCTGTCGAGCCACTTTCTCTGTCAGAGACATCACCCCTAGACCTCCAAAGCCAAAGACAATCTACCCGAACTGGCCTTCCACAACCATGATGACAGCCCAGAGCAACTGCCTATCAAAGTCTTTTGGCAACTAGGAAGTGCACTTCCTGTGGGACAGTGGGGAGCAATTTCCCAAGAGCCTTTGAGTACTAGGACAGAAGAGGGGGAAGCCTGGGGTGTGTACTGTTGTGCAACCCGGGACGGTGCTAAGACTTCTTAGCAACACAGTTTTGCTAATAAGTTGCCTGGAAAGTGCTGTTGTAGGGGCCCGTTGTCCCTGGCAGATGGACCCTGCTGCCCAGTGAGCATCTAGACCTTTTCAGTGGTGGTGTGACTCTGAGGGCAATTCCATTTCCAATCTCCGGGAAAGTTCCTGTCAGGTTCTACTCATACCTGACTCCTTGGGGCTGCCAGGTCAAACTGGAATTACTGGGAATCAGATGCTGGTGGTTGATTTCATGGACTTGTTTGTGTATTTGCTCCAGAGTGTCAGGATCAAGATCGAATGCATTCATGAGGTTTAAAACAACTGCCAAGGATGGCCTGTTGATGTGGAGAGGAGATAGCCCCCTGAGATCCAACAGTGACTTCATTTCCCTGGGCCTTCGGGATGGAGCCCTGGTGTTCAGGTAACTTGCTCTCTAGCTGCCCTTAGCAGCATCTTGCGGTTTTCTCAGATAGCACAGTGTGTGTCAAAAAAGAGTGATTCAGAAGTGAGCCAAAACAGTCCGCTGGAATTTGGCTGTAGCCTGAATATTTAGGCTTATTTCAGGCTCCTGGTCTTTGTTTCAGGACATATCGGGCCCACTGCTCACTTCCAAGTTTAATTGCAACATTGCCATAGGTATTTATTTATATATTGTCTAGGAGCACGTTCGTGCAATGGTGGCATGCTAGGGTAGTCCAAAAGAAGCTGTATGGCAAAGCCTACACTACTTCCTGTGCGGCCCTTTGCAGAAGAGTTCTGTGCCCCCTGTCCTGGCAGATTACTGCTGTTTGCTCCCCATTTGCAAATGTCAACGCTGCCAAGCATGAAAGTGAATACTCAGCTCAGCACTCCCCAGCTCAGGAAAGTTTGAAGATCTAAATCCCATGAGGCCTGGCTTTAAATTCCACTGTGCTTCCCGTTAGCCATGTAACCTTGGGAAGAATGCCGCCTTCCAGTCTCCTGCTTCAAAAAGATAAAAGCACAGATTTATATCTCAGTAGATCAACTCAGCATCAGGCTCCTTGTAAATACTTCTTTGGTGATAGTAAGCAATCAAAGAAGTTCTTATCTCTTTGAAGTGAATTTAGATGGCTCTCAAATTTGTCAAATGGGTGGCTATGCAATAGTTAATGAACAATTACCTGGACAGTTTTTTCCCCACCCTTCTCCCTACTAGAATGGATGAGAGCCAAGTTTCCAAGGAGCAGGGACTATCTTGTGTCATATGGAAAAACTTCTCTACATATTGCAGGGCACATTCTCACTTGAGATTAGAAATCACCGATTTACATGGGTGGTTCTCAAAGTGTGGCTCCGGGCCTGTTGCATCAGTGTCTTGCTGGACGTGCTAATTCTCAGGCCCTGCCTCTGACCTACTGGCCTAGCAATCTATGTCGTGACCATTTCCCCAGATGATTCTGATGCCTGCAAAGGCGTGAGGACCCCTGAGCTTTGTCTCTAGGCCTTCTATCCCGCTGGCAGGCATTTCTGGGGCTTTTACTCCTTTAATCGCCCCCAGTGGTGATGAACCCATGTTCACTAAATGATATGAAGTTACTTGGAATTGGAATAGACAAAGGAGAGAAAAGTGAGCTGTGGAAATGGCGAAGACAATTCTGTCATGCTCTGGGATTACTAACAGCCAGAGGAGGATAATGTAAACCTTTTCAACTGATGAAAAGGCATTTAGAGAGGAAATGTCACGTGTCCAACCCCGTGCCTGCCCCCAAGTAGCGGAGCATGCTAAGCGATCTAGTCAGTGCTGGGACTGTGGGGGACTTTGGAGAGCTATGTGGTGAGACTGGCAGGTGAGGGGCAGATATTCATCAACTCTGCCCTCTGCCTGACCTGTGTCCCCTGCCCTCTGTTGGCCAGGAGGTCAGAAGACTCAGAGGGCTTCACACACAGTTTCGAGCTGGCTGCCTCGCAGCCATTTTCTTGTGGTTTTCCTGTGGTTAACCTCATCAAGGCCTCAAGTACTTGACTGTGCCCAGAAAAGGGAACTGAAACAGTAGCTGAGCAGCAAGTGAGATGGCTCAACTTCCCCCCTAAATTGTCAGCCAAAACCTGTTCTCCAGCCCCTCCGGCCAGACTGGAAACCAGAGAAGCTCAGGCTGAGGCTCCCCTCTGCCCCGTGCCCTTCCTGCCCCTCCACGCCACCCTGGACAGAGCTCTCAGCTTGCTGTTTCTGTCTGAAATGCTGAAAACTGTCCCTGTGTTTTCTTGTAATCCTGGAGTTCCGGGTGTGCTGTGTGTAAGACGCACTGCTGAGCCCTGGCTGAGGAAGGTGTCTGTGCCCAGGCCTGGTCTGGGGCCACAGCTTTGCTGTCCCCACTGAATCACCTTCTCCTGCGCAGTCACCATCCACCACCCTCCACCCACTACAGCCCTTGGGAGTGCTGGGTCGGCTGGGGACAAGGAGAAATTAGAGTACAGGCTTGCAGCAAGCCACCAGGACATTTGTCTCAAAGGTAGATTGCTGAGCCTGTCCTCCCAAGTCTGGTGGTGTAAGTGAACACGAAAAAGGAAGTCAAAGTGCTCAGCAAAAATGAGTGTGGTTTTCTGTTTTATTTTTGTTTTGTTTCATTTTGTCTTATGATTGTAGGTGAAGCATGAAATCTACCGGGTTGGTTTACGACCATCACAAGGCTGACATTCTTTCTCACTGATTTTGACTTCATAACATTTTCCATGCAACAGAGAAAGGAAAGAGATCGGACATTAGTAAAGTGCCCTGGGCCAGTTTAAAGAGGATACAACTAAAAATGTCATCACATGAAGGCATGAAATTGGCCTCACCTGATGGCATTTCCTGGTGGCCCACCTTGGTGCTCCACCTCACAGCGTTTAGTTGAGGGCTCAGGATAACACAGTCATAGCAGCCAGAGTCACAAGGCCTTGGTAGAAAAATCAGACAAATATTCATTAGTTTGCTTTTGCACTTTGACATTGAGACATAACTTACATGTGGTATGCTTATATACAGTGTAGCCTGACCAGTTTTAAAATAGGTAAACATTGCATCCTGTAGATATGCTGAACAAGATAAGGGACATTTCTACCACCAAGAAAAAGTTACCTCACTCCTCCATCAGGGACAATAACCATAGATTTTGGCCATTTACCAATATATAAAACAGGGAGCTTCTTCGGGTGAGTATGAGTGTGTCTGGGGAAGCAGACAGTTATCTGGAGACTTTGTTATCTGAAATCACAAAGTCAGGCCACAGAAAAGCCAACAGAGTTGCCCCTGGCCACGGCAATGGCTGGATTGCTGTCTGCCAGATCGTACGTTGACTCCCTTGAGCACATCCTGCCCGCTTGCCCGAAGAACAAGACAGCTGTCAGGCTAGAGAAGAGAGGCCCTATCCCCAGTCCAGGTGGGATCTCATACTACAGAAGAGGTTTCTGGTGCTAGCATAGGTTCCAGTCCACCTCCCTGCAATTATACCCAGGTCACCTTGATTCTGAGAGCGGCTGTTCCTGGCCACTGTGGTTACATATTTACAACCTGTGAGTCCACTCTCACACATGGCTACTCTCCTAGAAGAGACCAGATGAACTTAACTCTTGGTGGCAACTTTCTTCTTCCACCCAGTTCCTCCAGGTGACTTCCACCCAGTTCCTCCCTACACAAGCTGCAGTAAGTGCTGCTGTCTGGGGTGGTGGCATTATTTGTTTTGCCCTTACTACATGGCATGCTTTCAGCATGTTGTCATAGTCCCTGTGATCTTTCAGGGAAAGTGTTTTTATCCACATTTGACACAGGATATTTAGGCTCAGAGATGTGAAGAAAATTGCCCGAGGTCGCAGAGCTAGTAAATTGGCAAGACTGGGGGTGCAGACAGATCAGCAGGACCCAAGTGTCCTTGCTCTGTCACCCCATGCTGTGTCTCAGAAAAGACACAGAAAGGATTTCAGCTAAGTTGCTGCCAACCACCTCCTAGCCCTGCTTCATATTCGTTGACTAACTCAATGAGCATTTGGCCAGCACATAATGAAATTCGAAAATTCTGCCTTTGGGCTGTGAATACAAGGTGACACTTGATATGGGAAAACTCATTCTTCGGGGTCAGAGAGGCAACTTTGTCCATGGTTTGTTCTGTAGTCATCACAGGTCTATTCCTGGTTAAAAGTCAATGTGACTTCTTTGAGCTTCTGCTGTTACAGGAGTGGCCTGTGGGGGTTTCTCTGCAGAAAGCTGAGCACTTTTTATTCTCACTCTGTTCTCAGAGTGAAAGTACATGAAAACGCCATAATAAATCTGAGTTTTCTTTCACCAGACCTCTTTCTTGGGTACTGAAGTAAAGGAGACACACCTGCCCTTACAAGAATGAAGGGAACATTACCCTGGCTACACCCTTTCCCCTCTGAAGCATGAGCACCTAGGCCTGGCTATATCACTGAGGAGAGGTCCAGGCAGTTGGCCCACTGCCCAGGCTGGAGTACTCACTAAATATTTCTTAATTGAGTTAAATTGGAATAATTGGATGAGCCCTGGATTGAGGGATATTTCTCTCTGGTAAACAACATGGTCATGTCTTCTGATACCTGTAGAGTGTCAGGGTATCTGGAAACTGAATCAGTACGCTAGGGGGTGGGGCAGACAATGCACCAAGTTCAACTTCTGCACATTGGTTTTGTGATTTTAGATAAATTTCCATAATGTCTTTGGCACTCAACCTAATCTGCAATGCTCTGGATTTTAGTTGGTTTTTTTTTTTTTTTCAGTTAAAAAATATGTATTAGTTTTTTAGGGCTGACATAACAGATAACCATAAATAGTGTGACTTCAAAAAATAAAAATTTAGTCTTTTATAGTTCTGGAGACTAGAAATTCAAAATGCAACATGCTGCCCAGGTTGGTTCCTTGTGGAGAGTCTGAGAGAAAATCTGTTCCTTGCCTCTCTCCGAGGATCTGGTGGTCGCTATTAATCTTTGGTGTTACATACTTTGTAGATGTCTCATTTTACCCTCTTCCTTTAGCATCATGTGGCGTTCTCCGCTGTGTGTTGATCTCTGTATCCAAATCTCTTCTTATAAGAATACCAGTCATATGGATTTATGTATACCCTGGTACAGTGTGACACCATTTAACTAATTACATCAGACCCTATTTTCATATAAGGGCACATTTTTAGGGTCTGGGTACACATGCATTTTAGAGAAACACTACTCAATCCATTTCAACAAATTACAAATGATAAAGCCCTTCGTATTATTTCTGATATTACAGTGTCAATGCTTCCATACATGGGACTTTGAAAAATTAACCTGGATGGTATTATGCTAAGCAAAGTAAATTAGTCACAAAAAGACACATTACTCTATGATTCCATTGATATGAGGTATTTAGGATAGTGAAACCCATAAGACAGAGAATAGAAGGGCAGTTATTAGGGCCCGGAAGAAAGAATGCGGAGTTACTGTTTAGTGGGTACGGTGTTTTCACTTTGCAAGACGGAATGAGTCATGGAGATTGGTTTCATAACTGTGAATGTATTTAACTCTACTAAACTGTATACTTAAAATAGCTGGATGGTGTTATGAGATATATATTTTACCCCAATTGAAAATTTAATTAGAAAAATCATACATGAGCTAATCTGGAAATGACCATCTTCTGTATCATTGTTTCGTTTTGTGTTAAAAGGACTGCACTCTGTATCCCAAAGAATCTTTGCAATAGGAAGCATTTGTGAGTGGGTGACTGCCTCTGCTTCTGTGTTTTATATCTTGTTCTCCAATTTCCTTAGCTACAACCTGGGCAGTGGTGTGGCGTCCATCATGGTGAACGGCTCCTTCAATGATGGCCGGTGGCACCGGGTCAAGGCAGTTAGGTAAGCATCTAGCACTGCAAGACACAGTCAGCCTGTGTGCGGGTGGGCTGTGGGTTGAGTTCACTTCCAGTCCCAACATCCTATTCCCCAACTGCGCCTGACCTCCTGTACTACTACTCCTGACCAAGGCAATCAGTGTATTTTGCCACTAAGTCCCATTGTGCCCTCCACTGACCCTGTCAGGCCAGTGACCAGACCTCCTCAGCCACATGGAATGGCTGCCTTTTGGAGAAAAAACTTGTTAATGGCTAAACTGAGGGAGGGCCTTGACATCTTTCTTTGTTGCTTTGTTGTGCTGGGGATGGAACCTAGGACCCCAGCCAAGTGCTCTACCACTGACTGTACCCTTAACCCCTTTACTTTCCTTAGTAATTTTTAGTTTTACTACCTACATCCACAATGGGTCCAAACTCATTAATGCTAATGCTCATTTAAGATGAAGGACCCAGAAAACAATAAGCTGAATAGACTGTTTGCTGTTCCCTAAGAATTTACCATGACCTTTTCCCTAAGGTCAAGAGTGGGGCCTGGGAAATATGGGTTTCGGCATGATCTGTTTCCTCCTCGGCTCACGTGTTGGTTGTGGTGGGTATGGCCTTGCTGGGGCTCTGGGGCTAGCTGCTATGCCTGCCTTTGATACCTTAGAGGTGGTCAGGATACAGAGGCAGATCTGGGCCTGTCTACTACAGGCGGAGAAACCCTTGGGATAATCTGTAGTGTTTTTTGATGAAGCCCCAGCTCTAACTCTTTAAAAAATGAAATGTTTTCCCATAATGAATATTTACAGGCTTGGCTCTGAAGTTTATTCTGCAAAGCAGATCAAAATGCACACAGTCCAGCTGAACTCCAGAAATATCCCTAACAAAGTGGCTTATTTTTTTCTCAAATCCATCTTTAAAGAGGGTGTCTCAGAGGCATTTAAAGGAATACGAAATGTTTTAGTTCTTAATTCTCATTATCTGATCCTCACAATCCCCACTTTGGAATCATCAGGGAATGCTCTGCTCTCAGTTTCCTTGGGTGGGGATGGAAGATTGAGTAGTCACACATTGTGGAAGTATTTAAACCTTCCATAGTTGTGGTTTGATTCTATATATCAAGGTAGACACTGTGGGGATGCCAGGTACTGCCTAGATATCTAAGGAAACTGATATTAAATGACTTCCCCACCAAGGCCCTTTGTGTTCCACATCATAGTGTGGCCTACCCACAACTCTACAACTAGGATTTCAGATGTTAAGAGGAATAAAGCAGTGGGATGTTCCCCTAGATGAACTTCAGATGTTAGAGCACTCAGCTTGGTACTGCACAGACAGTTCAATGGACATATTCTTCCTACTGACATCACTGATCCCACCAGTGGGTCCAGCATTACAGTAGGGGCTGAACAGCAGGAGCTTAGCCAAGGAACTGGAAGGGTGGGAGGACTCATACAGATATGACACACTGCAAGCAGACAGGCCTACCAGGGATGGTACAATAGCTCTAAGTGGGAACTGGGTCAAGGCTACAGTTATAACTAGGCCAAGAGGGATTGGGTGGATACCTTAATCCTTTGTAGCAGGCTCCAGGGTCAGAGATAAGAAAACTGATGAAGAGGAGATCCCAAAGGAGGGCTTCCCTGCATAGTGTGATGCTCTGGATAATCCTGGTCTTGCAAGCATCATTCCTAGCAGGATAGAGAAAAGTTCTCATTTATTAAACATCTCCAGGTCCCAGATAATTTACACACTTCACTTTTTCTAAGTGAACAGTCATAATAAATAAGTTGTATGATCTTTATTTTATGGGTAAGAAAGTCATTATGGGTAATGTTGATAAGAATAGCAACACACCAATTTAATGGTGCTTTTAGAGGAAGATATGTACCGGATTCCATGCTCTGTGCTTTGTATGGGTGACCTCTGACCTCCGCAGTAGCTTTGGAAGATGGGCATAATTATTCCCATTTTAATTGAGGATGCTGAAGCTCCACAAATTCACTTGCACATCCATCTCCTGTTACAAGACACATACTGTTCACGATATATGAAATGCGTAGAATAAAACCAAACCTTTCCCTGATGGTCTTGCATCCTACTGGGAAGCAACAGAAAATAAGTAATAAACATGATGAACAATACATTATGAATGATGCTGAAGGTGATATCACATCCTTATCAAATTTGTCATAGATTGGAGGATATATCTTCGTTTCAGAAATATGAACAAAATTTAAAACTCTTATAATTGATAGAAAAGACTAAGAGGGGAAAATGCAGTATTTAAAAGAAGCAGACAGGTTCCCGGTACCGGAGAAAAACCAAAAAAAAAAAAAAAAATAAAAGAAGCAGACAGAGCAGCAAGGCAAGCTACTGGGGGCATTGCCCATCGGGGCATTGCCCGTCAGATCATCTAGGTGTGAGGTTCTAAAAACTAATTTCCAAAATGGGGAGGCTGCGCATAGTTTCTAGGGTGAGGACAGAGCTCCAGAAAGTTCCCCAAAGCTCAGTGCGGCAAGAGTTGCTGTCAAGAGGGAGACGTGGGTTGGTTCCCCTCTGAGATACAGAAGCCCTGGTTTGGGTTCTGGGTGCCCCATCATTTAGCACAGAACCTGGCACACAGTAGGTTCACGGCTTCTTAATTTAAATGATTAGATCAGCTCCAGAAATGGTAGGTTTTGGGGGGGTTGCTTTGTTTCGCTTTACTTTAAAGGGATGGCCAATCGGGAAAGATTACTGTGGATGACTACGGAGCCAGAACTGGAAAATCACCTGGCATGATGAGGCAGCTCAACATCAATGGGGCTCTGTATGTGGGTAAGTGATCTTTGGCCAGCTCTAAATTTGGCCAGGGATTTTTCTTGTTAGTTTTCTGTTTGCTGCGGGGCTGTGCACTTCACTGGGTCAAATACCTGGAAATCAGGAAGCTATCCAGATAGTCCACTCTTCCATTTTTTGAACTTCTGACTCATGCCTGAGGGGACAGGAAGGGACTTATTCACATGCTTTTGTGCTTTGAACCTATGCACCGGGAAAACCATGCTTTTCTTGTTTATAGAACAGGAACTTGCTTAATATAGCTCCACCAATTCTCTCTGAGGAAGGTGGATGTGTCTCTCTGGCTTCTCTCAGAATAGAATGAATATGTCTAAAAATGGCTTATAATCCACTAACATAGACACATAAAAATAAAAAGATATCCTTACATGTTTTCTAAAAAAAGAACCAAATTGAAAGCAGTCAACCTCAGTATATTTCTTTTGGTTTATGACATCCCTTCTAATGACATACTATATTTTGTTGTTACACAATATTTGAAAACTTAGATACTATTTGGTTTCAAGGTGATCCTTTGGGCCATAAGTCACACATGAGGTGGGTATTTGTAGCCTTTTGCTCTGTGTCGAGTTGATTTAAGTTGTCTTGTTCTTTCAAGGATGATTGTAAAACAGATGTGATGCACTGAGCAGTTTGTACTGTCAGCCAGGGGACACCTTGACCAGGGGACACTCAAGGCCACTGTGGAGAAGTACCCCCGCCCCCGGCAACTCCTCTTAGGCTCCCTGTGTTTGCTTTCTGGCAGGTGGGATGAAGGAAATCGCTCTGCACACCAACAGGCAGTACATAGGAGGCCTTGTGGGCTGCATCTCCCACTTCACCCTGTCCACCGATTACCACATTTCCCTCGTGGAAGATGCTGTGGATGGGAAAAACATCAACACTTGTGGAGCCAAGTAACACCAGCTGGCCTTGCCCAAGGGACATAGCCTCTATACTGAGCATCCCAGGGGCCTCAAGACCCTGCCTGATGCCACACACAGAGGCCTGGGGACCAGGTGTGTTTCCTCTCATCAAGAGAAAGTGTACCCTGATGGAAACTGAGCACCAAGACAGAGTCCCTGGGTGGCCTTTCCTGCCGACGCTGTGGGCCAAATGCAATGGGATACTCTGCGTAGGAAGCACTGGACTTTTGGACTTTGCTCATTGGATGTGTAGAGTCTGTTAGAGATCCAACATCAGTGCAAATTCCAGAGCCTGTCTGCTATAACCCATTGACTGTGTTGTGATTCATACTGAGACAGAGAGAGAGAAAGAGAGAGAGAGAGAGAGAGAGAGAGAGAGAGAGAGAGAGAGAGAGAGAGACCCAGGACAGTATTAAAATACTTCTCTCCTTCCCTGACTCATGACATTCTTACTGACAGCAGAACAATGACTGGGTGACCTTGATCTTCCAGTTTCTCACCTTGGCCCATGAACTGATCAGATTAATCCCTTCCACTCCTCACTGGCTGACTTAGTGTGATCTTAAAGTTCCAGGAAAATAAAGGTTGGGGGAGATTAAACATAGAATCATAATCATAATGTGGCCCCCTTCACAGAGTTTACCTTGAATGTGAAATCCCTACTTTTTATAATGCAAATCTAAGGAAATGGGCTCCATGATTTTGTAGCTGTACTTTTGTATGTGTATATTTTTATAGCTGCAAACTGTCCACACAGTATACTTTTGAAAGTTAGGGTGGAAAATCCTAATTCTTGCACACTTTCCTAAAAGTTGTCTCCCAGAGAAAACTTGTTTGGGCCCTTTGCGGTGTGAGTGGAGCAGAAGAGATGATCTGTGTGGTATCCTGGGGAGCTGCCTGTTCTCTTCACTATGCATTGATGGCTCAAGGAGATGCATATGAAGCTTTCCAAAAGAAGCAGATTAAAAAGGAACATGTGCTACTGAGGTTGGGTCAGTGTCATTTTATTTTAAGAGAGAGGAAATATCTGCAGTAAAGTGGATGAAGAAGGCTAGAACCCATTTATTCACTCATGGAGTTGCTCCTGATTTTGTAGAGACCATGTCCACACGTGGATGCTAAGGTATTTGGTGCTTCCCAGACTGTGTGGGGTGGGGGTTGTTCTGTCTGCATGGCCCAAGGGTCTGAAGAATCAGAGAAACAGACTCCTTCCTTCTGTACGTCCACTGTGTCCCTCTGCTATGCGTGCATGTGACTCTGGGGACAGCTGGCTCAGGGCAGATCCCATGACAGGCCTTGCTAAGGGAAAGGTGGAATGAATGCTGCCTGTGAAGAGGGGGGAAATATGATCTAACTCACGCGAGAACCTATAATTAGTGCCAGGGTTGACTTGACACTTGTTTGTGCAGCATTCAACAGAAACCTTTGAGCTTGTGCAAAGAGATTGTAGACAAATTAAGAATTCTAAAAATGAATAAATAATCTAGAGAGGTTTGCCTTGTATCCTAACCTTCTGTCTCCTGTCTTTGAGAGTCTTTGGTAACCAGGGTCCTTCCTACTAGAGGGGGAATGGTAATAACAACAGTGATAGTAATCCTCCTCTCCTGCACGTGCCCCCTGCTGAGTGCCATCTAGAGAGAAGGTACATGGTAGAAAGGAGGTCCTGCCACTTTCCCACTGCCATCACTTCAATGACTTTTCCTTGAGATTAATAGGGCCAGTGTTTCCCCAGATACAATGGAGTTGCTTTCACAGCACATTTTGAATGGATTAGCCTCCAGCCAGAAAAAAAAAAAAATGTGATTTTAGCAAAGTATCCAGCTGAATTGAAGCCAGGGAATTGTCTTATTCCATGCAAGTGTTATCCAGAGAAAAATGCAATGGGGTGTGTGTTGAAACTGAGGAGAATTGGGAACCACCTCCTCTGTGGGTGGTAAGCAGATGGGGCTGAAGGCAGGGAGTGATATGGATTCAGGGCAGGAAGGATTCTATAAGTGAGAGGGCAGCGGAGCAAAAAGACTCAAGAGGATGGGGAGGCTCAGCATAGGAGTTCAGGGTTAGAGACAGTGTATCTCAAGCTGGGACCAAAGCTCTTCCACCCTTTCTGGGGACAAAATCCAGGAGATGGGGGCGGGGAGGAATTTATAGCAGGGTGGTTGTAAGGATGAAGAGTAACGTGAAGCTAAGGGATTAGACCATGGTTCCAATGGAAAAGAGAGCTGGGAAGAGTTCAGCCCGAGCTTGTGGATGTCCTCGTTTTCTCTATAAGTGTTTCTGTTACCTTTTGCCACCATAATGCTGCCTAACAACTGACTACAGACCTCAGAGGTGCACAGCAGTGAGTGTCTGCTGCTTATGTGTCCTGAGTGGTGAGCTTGACAGCCTTGCTGACTAGGCTGGGCTTGAGCAGGTGGCTCATCTGGTCTCAGCTGGACTTGCTCACATGTGTAAGGGGTTGTGAATTTAGGATGGTCTCAGCGGGGAGGGTAAGGTGACGTGGTCAGTACATGTTGATGGCTCAGGGGGTTGCATATGAAGCATCCCAAAAGAAGCAGATTAAAAGGAATATGTGCTACTGAGGTTGGGTCACTGTCATTTTATTTTAAGAGAAAGGGAATATCTTCAGCAAAGTGGATGGAGAAGGCTAGAACTCATTTATTCGGAGTTGCTCCTGATTTTGTAGAGCATGCCTCCATGCCTCTCGTGCTCCTCCTGGGACTGGTGGGCGCTGGCCTGAGCATGCCTTTTTCACACCAGTGAGGGAGGACAAAGGGTTCCAGAGTAAAGGTCTAAGTCCTGTCAGCCTCGGTTTGGAAATGCCACGTGCCACTTCAGCCACATCCTGTTAGTCAAGACTAACTATAACAAATCTATAGACTGGGCTCTATAGATTTAAGAGGAAGAAATAGACGTCACCTCCATCATGACATGACAGGCTCCTCAGCACAGTGAAAAGATAGCTACCTGACAAGGAGCATGAATTTAGAGAGGATGGCAAACTGGGGCCATTAACGCATCTGGTCCACATGGCACGTAATACTGTTGAAAGAAGTGAAGCCCTCACTCTTCCCAGGAGCCCTTGGGACTGGGAGTTGAGGCTCGCAAAGTTCTGAGTGAGTGGCCCAGTGGGGTCCAACAGAAGCAGCACTTCCCCTCTCCCTGGCCTTGTCTGCTGTCCTATGTCCATTTGTCCATCTGCATTTCTCCTGTTTTTCCTCTCATAAGGACAGACCAGCAGGAAGATGGGATCTCTGCCCTGGCTTTTAGGTAGCTACGAGGTGATTGGCAGATTGTAGAGGGTGGACTGGGCTCTTGATGGGAAGTGGCCAGGGAGCTCCCAGGGTAACACAGTTCCCGGCCGTCCCAGAAAAAAGGATATCATGAGGCATAAGTTCCTAAAAAGCATCTGTCCCACAGTTAGGATCTGAGGAAATCCCCAGAACTTCCCACAGCATCTGAGGAAGGGCAACAGGGGTGGAATGAGGAAAGGTAGTCATTCTTGCTTTTCCTATTAAAATGGACTTGGATAACCCTGCGCATTTCCTCTAGGGCCACCCTTGCGAGCTCCCTCAGGAAGGTCTCTGGGGCTCTTCTTTGTCCCCATACTGCCCCAGAAGCTTGTGAGGCCTGTCCACCACCTCTCTCACTGGCTGTCCTACTCTCTGTCCTCTTATTTGCTTTTATTTCCTGACCCAGGCCTGTTCCAGTCTCCGGGCCTCTGCTCCAACACAAACAGGCCTGCTGGTTTCCACACACTGCCTGGTTCCTCCGTAACTGGCGCTTTCCTTCTGACTTCCCTCCCTCCTTTCCTCCACCTCCCACCTCCTCTCTTCTCCCTGTGGCAGAGAGCTGCCTCCTCCCTGAGGGGGCGGAAGGATCTCGGAAATGTGCCCGGAGCTGGCCGGCCAAGCGCTTTCCACTTGGAGGAAATGCTGCATTTTTCACCCTTAACCTAGAAAAATATGGTTCTCAGAAAGCTTGTTTTTAGCACTGAAAGTTCCCAAAGGAAGTAGAATAGAAAGGAGGAGGGAGCACCCAGCCTCTCTCAGCGGCTCTGACATCCAAGCCTCTGGCCCACAAGGCTGCTCTTCTTGGGAAGGAACTGCCCAAGGGCAGCTTGCTAGGGCCCTGCTGCCTGGAAAAGGAAGGCAAAAATTCCAGTTCCAAGAGGAAAGACTACGTTAGGAGAAAGACCTGGGCAAAGCATTAGCGGCTTTCTGTTCTCTCCCTGTTTCTTCCCTCAGCTTCAGCGCGACCCAGCCCAGCGCAGGAATGCACAGAAGCTGCCGTGAAGGTGGAGGCCTCGTAAGGGACATTTGTGACAGTGAGACCCTCCACTGAGAGGGATGTAAGATTAGAAAGTTGCACAGGACTTTCAGCCGGAAGTAATCCTGAGGGGAGAGGCCACCAGTATGAATCAAAATCATAATCCAAAACTGCTGCTGCAGGCCACTCGCACAGCTGGTTCTCCACGTGGAGGAGGTAGGCCCTTTAAAGTGTGTCATGACTGGTTGTACAAAGCACACCCTAAACACTAGACAAAGAAGGGAAAAGTAAGTGGCTCTACCTCAGCTATGGTGAGGCCTGAAGTACCAACTCTGAGAGCACTAAACTGCGGGATTCTCAGTGCAAATGACCTGTTGTCTTTGGGCAGTTCCTATTTATGGGTGGCCACACTTAGGCAAGCAAAATGACTAACCCAATTCCATAGCCTGAACTGGCTCCTGAGGTAGGTTGAGTAACTGTGTGCCTCAACCTCATGCTCAAAGAATGTTCCCATATTTCATCTGAGTAACAGTCTGTTTCCTGTGATGGACAGGGCAGATGAGCAGGGCCCATCTGACTTGGAGAGACAAAGCTTTCAAGAAAGATTGGCAGAGTCCCTGAGGATGCCACCAGAGAGCTGCACTGGGGGACTTTTCTACTTCTTATCCTGACCTTTAGCCAGGTGCAGCTGCCCAAGGGTATCAGGATTCGCTCCCTGGGCAGTGTAGTGATGTGGACACTTGGGCAAAGGATGGCTGCCAGGTCTGCTTGCCAGTCACTCATATGGCTGGTAAGAGCAGCTTTTTCCAAGACTCACAGCAAGGATCCTGAGTTGAGCAAGCCTGAAAGCAGAAACCAGAGCTATTCCATCAGAGTGGACTTCAGGCCCTGTAGAGACAGTTAGGCCTGGATTGAATTATTTTCTCTGCTCGCTTTTGCCTTCAGCTCCACAAATAACCTCCATAACTCAAGGGAGTTGTTGCAAACTATTTCTGGCCAGCGGTGTGCTCTCCTGGGCCTCTGCCTAGCCTTGGCCAAACCACGAGCTTCAAGAACAGGCAGACAGCAGGCAGAGCCTCGCCTGCCTCTCCTCCTTTCCCGGCCTGCCCTGAAGGAGACATCTTTGTCCTAGAAAGTGTGTGACTCGTAGGAGCTCTTGCCCTTTCCTGGAAAGACGTGAGAAGAACATTGTGTCTTAGCATTTGGGAGGCAGTCTCTGCTTTTCTATTCATCTATCTCATCTGTCTCCTTGTTTAAGATCCAAAGGCTGTACAAAGGCACAGAAATTTCCCAGCATATGACCCAGTCTCCTCTGATATCCCACTGCTTCCCTCCAAGTGGGGTCCCAGCCTGGGCCCATGATTTCCACGGATCGCCTGGTACGAAGGCTTTGCAGTTCCACCTTGGCTAAGAGAGGGCTTGCATTGGAATGCCTCTGAGAAGGAAGGCCAAGGAGCCTCAAGAAATTTACCATTTATACTCAATTACAAAAGTAAGAGGCACTAGGTCAGGGGATTAGCTGAGGGAAGCATCGTTAGGAAGTTAGCTGAAGGAAAACTGAGGCACAGAACACGCACTATCAGACAGACAGGAGAGACCAGCAGGACGCAAGGCCCCTGTGTGGTGGTAGACATTCTGCGGTCCCAAGTGACCATCCACTCCAACCCCTTAGACTGCACTGGGAAGGTAAGGCTGTCACCCACATCACTGTGACATGACT